GTTCGTTGTTAATTGCTAGTAACAGTAATTATCGCTTAGATTATAGAATTGTTTTCAAAAGAAGGATCCAAATTTATTTTTTATTTTCTTTTCAGAAAACTCAGATGAAATATCTGTTTAGCTTATCAGATGAGCTATCCAACTTTTTAATGGAGAAGTTTTACTCTGTGATGTTATTTTGTATTTTTATGACCTTATTTCTACTGAAATGACCTCTTGCATTCTAATCTTTTTGAAGTTTACAGTTTTGGAAGGAAGAAAAAATTTTTTGTTTTAATTTGGCAGTAAACCTAGGACCTTACGTGTATTAGGCAAGTGCTCTCCCACTGAGCTACATCTCCAGTCATTCCACTTCACTTCATGTTATATTGTGTTATTTTGAGACACGGTCCTGTTATGTTGTCTAAATTGGCCTTGAACTTGCAATCTTCCTTCCTTAGCTTCCCAAGTAAGCTGGGTTTGCAGGTGTACAACATCTCACTTACCTAAAACTGAAAGTATTCTTAAGCCCTGGTTAGCACTGAATAAATGCATAGTTTATTACTTTTTCTGTAGTGTAAAGGATTTTATTTTTGAAATAATGAATGAAGACTCACAGAACTTGAAGATATATACAGAACAGGGTGAAACATTATCAACTATTCATTTTATAGAAGTAGGGATATTAAAAGTATTTGTTTGCCTCCATGTGACCATTTCCAAAATGAGCAAAAATTAGGACAAATCACTTTTTAAACCATTTTTAAAATGCCTATTAAAGCCGAAGATACTTACCTATGAGGTTAGTTTGCCAATCTATACCTGAACAGATAGGGTGAACAATTTTGCTTTAAAGTAGATAGCTATTACTGCCTTTGTTTTGAGGTAGGAAAAAGACTCAGAGTAAATTGGGATAACTGGAAGATGAAAAAAATGGAGAGTATAAGTGACAGACCAAGAACTAGAAAAGGAAAGGATACAGTTTAAGAATTTTTGATGCCAAGTGTTGTGGTCAAAAACCAATGCATGGAAAAAAAGAACCAAAATGAAACATAGTTTTAGAAATTTTAGGGCTGGTTCTTATAAAAAGCTAAATAGAGAAGCATTTAGAAAATTTATTATGAAGAAAAAGAAAATTTAAAAATTTAAGACGTGCTAAAAATTTTTAAAGTTTCTAGGTGATATGTTGGAACTATTTTTAGAAGCACTTGAAAAAATCTCAGTGAAACACATACTTTGAAAAAGTTACATTTCCAGAACTGATTCAAGACAAAAGACTGCCCCCCACTAATGATCATGGAAGAAAATGTAAAAGGTAGCCGTTAATTTAATTTCAAATAGACTAAGACTCCTTAGCTTTATTGACTTCTATTCTTTTGTAGAACAAATAATTTCTCTGCTGTATCACTAGTTCCAGAGCCTAGAAAACTTGACGAAAACTTAGATGAAAATCTAAGCAGAATCTAACAAAAAGGAACAAAAATGTTAAAAATACTGATCAATCTAATTTTTATCTTGATATAAAAATTATAGGTCATCCCTATTTCCAGGACTGAATGAATGTTTGAGACTTTCCTTAGTAGGAAAAACATCTTTGGAATGGTATTTCCTAAGTCACAGGCAAGAATCCACATAAATGACTAGGTGGGGGCTGTGTTTAAGAGTGGTGCCCTTCTAATATTGGTGATCCTATCATCTGGTTATCTACCCAAAGGCCTGCGGTTTAGCTTTTTTTGAACATCCACTTACTCTGGCAGTCTGAAACCTTTCCCCCAACTGAACTGACTTTCATGCTCTGAGAAAATGTCCCACAGGACTGGGCCCTCCTTAACCATCTATCTTCCTTCTGATCTATATAAATTTCTGTGGTGGGCCATGCATGGTGGCACATGCCTGTAATCCCAGCACGCGGGAGGCTGAGACAGGAAGATTGCTGTGAGTTCGAGACCAGCCTGGGCTACATAGTGAGTGCTAGGTCAGTCTGAACTACATAGTGAGACCCTGTCTCTAAATTTAAAAAATTAATTAAGGTGGCTATCTTGTGTAAAATACAGCAAAAATTTATTGTACATAGTTTCTATTAAATGTTAAAACATGGGAATAAAAGAAAAAAATTATAGGTAAACATTAGCAAGGGCCAGGGATTTAGCTCAATGGTTCTGCCGCCTGCCTTGCAAGCACAAGGAGTGGAGTTCAATCCCAAGTACCAAAAAAAAAACTGCAAATCAGCTTTAATCATATATTAAAAATCTGGCCTGATGAAAGAAGATTGACCTTAGAAATGGAACGATACTGTAACATAGGAAATCTATTAATATATGTAATGTCAATTGAGAAAATAAGAAATGATGAATATCCTGTTAATTGCTTAGGAGCTTTTGTTTGATAAAATGTGAAATTTGATAACATTTAGTATAAAAATGATATGATCCTTAATATGGGACAGACTGTATTATACTAAATGCTAACATTGTAGTTAAAACTGAGGGGCTGGGGATTTAGCTCATTGGTTCCACCACCTGCCTGGCAAGCACAAGGTCCCGAGATCGATCCCCAGTACCGTAAATAAATAAATGAATGAATGAATGAAAAGAAAAGAAAAGTGAGATGTGAGTGATTGTTTCATATTTTTGAATGTATATAATACAATGAGGTGGGCCCTTCTCCTGAAGTACAGAAATACTTTATACTCAAACATTTTTCATCATTATACTACTGATTTATATTTCCATATCCTCAACTAAACTGAGCAATTTGAATGTTGAGCTATGTTCTAATAATGATTTACACAGCACAACACTGGGCATATAGTAAATTTCGTTAAATGCTTGTCCAAAAAAAAAAAATGCTTGTCAAATGGAAAAAAAAAGTGATATTTCAGACACATTTCAGAATGGGTGCCTTTGAAGTGACTTGTGATTGGTAAAAGAGTAAATAAACAGTGTCGATGTTTGGGGAAAGTATATTCCAGGCTAAGGAAAGACCATGCTGGGGTTCTGAGTGACAAGATTGGTGAGGGGCAGTATATGTGAGGGAAGAGGTCAGGAAAAGACATACTGGGTCAGCTCATGAGGTCACAGCAGTACTGTTAGCAATGGAATTGGAACCTGGCCCTCCTAACTCTTACTGCAGTGCTCTTTGTTATCCTGGGACTTCGGGTCTTGTATCACTGACCTGTGGTGTGGCTTTGTTTTTAAATAGGTGTGGAAAGCAAGTGAGCCTAATACGTTAACGAAATTTTATAAATTTGATATTAGTGTAAATTAATCAATTATGCAAGAAAATAAAATTTTCATTGTCCCAGCCTTTTTTGTAAGAGTGCATTACAAAATTATCTTTTTTGTAATATCAGAAAGTAAAGTAACCCACATTTTGTGCAGTTACCATGTGACAAAAGATTAACCTTTAATAGATAAAACTTTTTTTTTGGTATCGGGGATAAAACTCGGGCCCTTGGCGCTTGCGAGGCAGGCGCCGGAACCGCTGAGCTAAATCCCAAGCCCTTAAATTTTAAAATAAACAGTTAAAGTTAAACAATAAATGTTCTGATTAAAAATATGTGTGAATCTTTAGATAATGGATTTTAGTTTTTACTTTGTTTAAAATAGGATATGTTAAAATTTATACAGCTACCTTACTCTTTACTTTGGCCTCTGTCCCCTTATTTCTGAAATGGTGATTATAGTATCTACCTCATATATGGTTGAAATAATATACGTAAGATGCCTATCACACTAGTAAAGCATGACTCTAATGAGATTCCTTTTCCTTAATCCTGCCTTTCACATGTATCTCCCTTCTTCCTTAACTATGCCCCTTCAATCTCAGGACCATTTGTTCATACTGGGAGCTTCCAGGATCTAATTCTAAGCCTTTCGTGATATATAGTCTGTTTTTTATTCCTTGATAAACTATTTTCATGTACTTACAGGGATTATTTCTGTTATAAGTGGCTTCAAGCTATTATCGTTTCAGCTCTTGTATATGCAGTTTTTAACTTCCCTTTTCTCTGTCAGCTGCCATTAATGTTGCTGCTTTGTTAGGTTTTCACTGCTTCTCTTCACCCTCTGATCTGCTAGTTGTTTGTTTGTTTGTTTTTGGGTTTTTTTGTTTTTTTGAGACAAGGTCTCACTATGTAGTAACAACTGACCTGGAATTCACTGTGTAGCCCAGGCTGGTCTCAAACTCACAGAGATCCTCCTGCCTCAGCCTCCCGAGTGCTGGGACTACAGGTGTGACCCACCACGCCCAGCTTGATCTGCTAATTGTTGAAACCATTCACTAATCAAGTTTTATAAAATAATGTCTGTCAGGAATGAAATAAAGTTTTGGCTTGTGTATTGATTCTGCTTAATAATGGCTGCCTGGAATGTTGTGTTAAAGCAAGTTCTATAGCTGCATCCAGTGTAATGGGAAAGAATATTCTGCCAGTGGAAGGGGTGGAAGCGTGTGTGCCACATATTGCCATTAATTATTTTAAGTGAGAGACGTGAAGATCTGAGTAGTTCTGTGATGAGTAAAATACACGTGAATGGATAGGTCTTGTGATAGTGTTTGAACTTCTCAGGTACAATTCGTTTACTGCTTGCCCTCTTACTTTAGGCATTGAAATTTCCAGATAACTTACTCTGAGTAAATGAAGGAAATGATTTGAAAGGACTATATTTTGCTCTAGTTATCTTTTAGGTTTGTAAATACTTACTCAACAATTATGTGATTAAAAATTTAAGCCATGTCAAAACTTAACATTTTCTTCGCTTAGTATTTCATATTTTATCAAAATTACATACTCAAATTACAGATGACAAATGCACTGAATGGAAAATGTCAGATTATTAATAAACTTTTGAGGATTTATTTAATTTTCAGATACTTTGTGATGGCAATAAAGAGGCATACCTGAATGATTATTAGTTTTATAGTCATTTAATATGTGACTATATCTGATAAAGTTTAAATTTTAAAATGCATTTTTTCTGATATGTCATTCCTTTTACACATATCACATATAACTTTTGCAGGTTGGATTTGCTACCGTTTTATGCAAGATTGGTTGCTACATTGCATCCCTGCATGTCTGATGTAGCAGAGGATCTTTGTTCCATGCTGAGGGGGGATTTCAGATTTCATGTATGTATTTAAGTGTTTATTTCTGTAATATGTATATTCTTAACAGGGTGAGATGCCGGGGATTTAGCTCAGTGGCACCATGCCTACCTCACAAGCACAAGGTCCTGAGTTCAATCCCCAGTACTTAAAAAAAAAAAAGCTGAGTGGGGATTTTTAGTTTAAGAACATAATTGGTTGGTTGGTAAACATATTTTTGGAATTTGATAATGGTATAACAGTAAAAATTAACAGAATTTTTAATTTTTTAACGTCAATTCATTCAACAAAGCTTGAAATTGATGTGATATTCCAACTCTCAGCATTGTCCTAATTGTCTCTTAGTTGAGGGGAGCCAGTGTTCCTGTTCCCCCATTGTAAGAAATGTGCTTTTTGCTTTTGTAAATTAAAAACCATTCTTCAAGGCCAAGACAGGCAGAGTCCTCATTGGTAGTCCCAGAAGAAGCAGAATTGGCTGTGAAGAGTTGGGGTGTGGTGCTCTATTATATGCCTCCAGATTTTGAGGGTCCAAATATGTGGAGCATAAAAGACTCCATAAATTCTGCAATCTCAGTGAATGCTGTTGTTGCCCATATTTTGTTGATTCTTGTCTTAAAAATCTTTACCTTGCTGGGCGTGGTGGCGCACGCTTGTAATTCCAGTACTCAGGAGGCTGAGGCAGGAGGCCCACTGTGAGTTCAAGATCAGCCTGTGCTACATAGTGAGTTCCAGGTCAGTCTCAACTACATAGTGAAACCGTGCCTGAAAAAACCCCAAAAAAACAGAAATCTCTATGTTGGATAGAGACAAGTTGTTTAAAGAACACTCCAGCAAATACCAGGGGATCTTTACCAGGCAACGGGTATCTTCCTTTCCTTTCCAATACTAGAAGTCTAGTCAGTCCACATGTTTGTGATTTAAGCCCTCATTGCTCAGTCATCTTGTGGAAGTGAAAGAGCTTCAAATACAGGCTTGATGGGGTAAAAACATGGTGCTGCCACAGTTACTGTACATGAGCATTGGTAGACTTTGAAAAAACTTGAGCTTTAAATGTTATGTTAGCCAGTGGGAACATTGTGTTTCCAAAAATTTAGCATTACAGTCGGTTGCTAAAATGAGGGAAAGTTTGCTGTGCTCAGTACAGGATTTATTGTACTCAGTGTGCACAAATCAGTAGTATTGTTGAGCATTCAGAGAAGAGCAGACAGTTTCCTCATGATACAGTTGAGGAAAGGAGACATAAATACAAAAGCAAGAGGAAAGTAAAATTTTAATCCTTAAAAGAATTGCATGTTTAACTGGCAAGTGAATTACTACGGACTGAATACTTTGAATCCAGAGGAAGGGGGAAAGTCTCATGAAGAGCAAAAGAACAAACAATGCCTATAATTGCATCTTGCAGTAAGTGTTAATTTGTTATGAGCTTTAGGGTTAAGATTTATTTCAGGCCAGCTTTTGCTGAAGTGTGTTCCAGATTTTCATAAGTAGTATTAAGGAAGGTAAGGTTTGTGTTTGGAGAAGACCTCAACTTTTTGATCGAGCCTTTTTATTGTTTAAAATAACTGGGCACATATCCCAAATATAGGTATATTTTTAAATTATGCACATTTGTAGTTGTACCAAACTTGGTACATTATAGAACATACAAAAGTAGATGGGAAGGTAATGAAGTAAAACTTAAGAATAGAAGTTCCCAACCCCCGTATATGAAGTGATAGAGCTGAATTTAAAACCAGCAGAATTGGTACAGAGTCTATAATCTACTCTATCTTCAGAGTTCATAGACTACTTAGCAAACATTTATTTATAAAAGCTGTACTCTTTTCTGAATTAAAAGGCTGAAAAAGTCAAGTTTACTTGTTCCTATTTTAATAATAAAACTGAAAATCTAATTCTATTTTGTTTTTCTTTAATCTCAAAGATAGTTTGTATGTATAAATGACAAAAGTTCTGTATGAAGTTGAATCTATGATTTTACCATTTTTGCTTGATTCAGTTTTCTTGATGCTCTAGAATAAATTCTAGTTCTAAGATTTTAGTAAGCATGGTTTTGTTTAAGAATATAAAAAGTCTAAACATCTACCTCTGCTTGCTGTAGAAAGTGGATCCTTCAAAAGGAAAGAAGAGAAAGGAAAAAATATGAGAAAAGGAAAAAATGGAAACAAATTCTTTGTAAATAGGGAGGACGAGGGAGGGTAGGGGAATGGGGAAAAAATAAGCAACAAGATAAATCTTATAAAGGTACAAATTCCCAAAGATGAATGTCATCCTATTATATACCAATAAACGTAATGAAAAATCATTAAGATAAATTCCACTGAAATGTTAACTGAGTGTATGGAAGTTTATTTTTTATAAATTACTATCATTAAGTGTACAGCTGCTGGTGAGGTTTGACTTTCTTTTGAATCTCAGCACGCACTTAGGGAACAGTGCAGTAGAACTCTCAACTGACAGAAGATCTGGCTCATAGTGTGTCCATCCTTGGTCAAGGCATTTGATAGCTTTGTGGCCTTTTTTTTTGTCCTGGGTTTTGTTTTTATTGCTTTTACCTAATTAAAATAATAATGGCTATTCTTTCTCAAAAAATGAGGATAGTTTTCTGCAAAGAGCAGTATGCTAGAGGTAAGTATCACATTATGGTCATTGTTACTCAAATTAATTTGTAGACAATAGTTTTGTTTTTCTGTTGAAAATGTAATTTTGAGGTTAAATCTAATTCTATTTATCTCAGTGTATTTGTTCATGTTGTACTGACTTACTGGGATTTTGTTGGATTTGATATTTCTTGAAATGTGTGCTGCCATAAATAGAGGACCTAAATGTGCAAAACATTTGAACTTTGATATGTGACTATGACTGGTAATTTAAAAAACAGTGACTACATTAGATGTTTCATTTTGAATTTATAATTAAAAATGCAGTATAGTTCACAATTATACCAGCAAACTTAATAACTTTTTTGCTTAAGTGAGCTCCTGATATTTATACTTTTTAACACAGCCTTTTCTTTTCTTTTGTACTGGGGATCAAACTCAGGACCTTGCACTTGCAAGGCAGGCACTAAGCTAAATTCCCAGCTGAGACAGCATTTTCCAAAGTATGTTCCTTATGATGCTAATTTAATGGGCTGTTAAATAATAGAGGTTACAATTTCAAAGAAGGGACTTGTGTTGCCAAAAAACTTTTGAGTAAGATTGATTTAAAATAAATGAAGTAGCTTTCTTTTAAGAGGCTTCTTAAACCTGAAGAAAAAACTGCTTTGTTTTTCCAAATTGTTTGATCATAAAACTACTTTGCAGAGTACTTCCTGGGACTGGTGTTACACAGAGCAGATTTTTCAACTTACATAAAGTAACATGAATGTAATACAAAATTATTATTCAATTTATTAAATATTTGGGGTGAACTCATACTAGAGTAACAATTCTTATCAGAGATTAAAAATGTTGATTAACAGTGTCTTTCTTATTGTAGGTACGAAAAAAGGACCAGATCAATATTGAAACAAAGAACAAAACTGTTCGTTTTATTGGAGAACTAACTAAGTTTAAGATGTTTACAAAAAATGATACACTCCATTGTTTGAAGGTTAGTGCTAAATGTTTTTAATAGAAAAAAATGTAAGTGAGGTATAATTAGTGGATAAAATGAAATAATTAGTTGATAAAGCCAAAAGAAGACAAGAAAGGAATATTAAATAGATGATCAAAATAGAAAACAGATAGTAAGATGGTAGATACAAATGTGACTGTATCAGTATTACCTAAAATATAAATGGACAAAAATGCATAAATAAATTTAAGAATATAAAACTTGATTAAAACAACTATGTGTTGTGTACAACATAAAGACAAAAATTAAAAAGATGTGGAATTATGTTGTATCATAACTGCTTAATAGGGAAACAGATTTAATGCAAGATACACAATTATATAAAGATTTACCAAGTAGATTTGGCTGCCCCGAGTCAAGTGTGGAAGACTGGGGTGGGGATTTAGCTCAGTTGTTCCGCTGCCTTCCTCAAAGGTGCAAGGGCCTGAGTTTGATTCCTGGTACAAAAAAAAAGTGTGGAAGATTGCAAAAGGTGTATTTACATGCATGCTAGAGACTTTGAGAATCCAGTCAAAGTCTTGGAGCTCACTGTAGTTTCCTGTTCAAGTCCATATCAGGAGGCCGAAGGGCCTGCTGGAAGCCAGGGGATATCTAAGGTGAAGGTGAAGAAACAGAAGTGACCCTTCCTTACTCATTTCCCTTTTGTTCTATTCAGGTGAGAAGCCCATTAGTTGGTACCACTTGCACCCAGGATGTGTCTTCAGTTTTCAGTAAATCCTTTCAACCACACCCAGACTGCGATCCAATTTAGTTGGGTATTTCTTACTCAGATTGACACAGTTAACTATTATATGTTATGCAAGTACTATTCAAAAGAAAGTTAGTTTCACTAAACTGTTTTCAAAGTAGACTTTAAAGCCCAAAGCATTATTTAATATAAAGGGTAGTTTACGATAATGAAAAGTTATTTTTAACTGGAAAATTTTATTTTCCTGAATTTTACACCCAGTAACATACTGTAGACTCAAAATACATAAAGCAAAAATAAATGAAGCCACAGGATAGTGAAGGATTTGAAAAAAAATGTCTCTAGCTAAAAGAAGCAGCAGACAAAATAAGTATAACCTGAATGGAATTTGGTCAATGCAGTTACCAACCTTGACCTAATCACACTATGTGGAACAGCAGAATTTGGAATCTTCAAATGTACATGGGTCATTTACCAAAATCAACCATAAAGTTTGAGCAGATTTTGAGAGGATTGAAATCATTAACAAAATTCTGTCTTTACTGCATGGTTTTTTAAAATACTAAAAGTTATTGTGAATATTCAAAGGATTAAGTTTCCTGAACTTTTTGGATCATCTCAGGAGATTAGTATATTATAAAGTTCATTTAAGGAAACTCCAGACAGCATGTAAAAGAGATAGTAGAAATTTTCTGAATGCCATAATTGAAAGGAATTACTATAAACTCTTAAAATGTGTGGGAAGGATATATATTTCTTGATAATAAAAATTTTGTTTCTAGCCATTCATTTAAGGAGGTAGGTATAAATGTCGGTATAGATTTATCTGTGCCTTGTCATGCCATTTTTGCAATAGTGAGAAAAGAGGCGATGTTAGTGCTCAATAAAACAATCAAAGTTTTAAGCAAGTTTATGTTTGCCATACTAGGTACCTTGTAAATCATACCAGAGAAGGATAAAAAACAAGGAAATACTCATGTTAAACTAAAAAAAACAAGCTAGTAAATGATGTCTTACATAAATCTTATTCAGTGAGTAAATAAGTCTGTAGTCAGACTTTTTTTTTGGTACCAGGGATCAAACTCAGGATCTTGTGCTGGCGAAGCAGCCGGAGGCACCACTGAGATAAATCACTGGCCCAGTAGTCAGGATTTTTTGAAGTAAATGTTATCTAGGGCTGGGTGTTTAGTGGTGCTGCCACCTGCCTTGAAAACACAATGTCCTTAGTTCAGTCCTCTGTACCAACAATAAAATGAAAATAAAGTAAATGTTATCTATGTTAAAACCAAAAGCAATCGAGAAAATACCATCTGCATAGATGGCATAGCATCTCAATAAATATAGACAGTGCTTTCTCTCATTAGTTTCTGTATATCTTTGTGTGTGTGTGTCTGTGTGTGTTACCGGGGTTTGAACTCAGGAACTTGTGCTTGCAAGGCAGATGTGATGTCACTGAGCTAAATCCCCAGCCCTCTGTATATCTTTTTGAAAGGAAAGATGTTAAATATATTGAAATTTTTCAATAAAAATTTTATAATAGAATACAAAGATGTCCAGCAGTGCTTAGTAGACTTGATTTTTTTCCTTTTATGCATCGTTATGTACATGAGAAGTGTATACTATTTTCTTTCTGTACTAGCATTGAAGTGTTGCCTGTGTAGCTTTTCATCATTCTTATTCCAGATGCTTCTGTCAGACTTTTCTCATCATCATATTGAAATGGCGTGTACCCTTCTGGAGACATGTGGACGGTTTCTTTTTAGATCTCCAGAGTCACACCTGAGGACCAGTGTACTTTTGGTAAGGGCTTGAGGATCCTGGTAAGAACTAGAGGTTCCTGATTTACTTCTGGATTAAAAATATTGGCCATCACTGGTTATCTCCCTCTGCCATATGAATATTTGTATTTCTACCTAAACTAGAATAGCCAAACATGTATTAACTATAGAAATTTTTCTCATTTTGGCTGCCAGTGAGTTCATAACATTACAAAAGGGCATTAAGTTCAACCTAGAATACTTTGGACAGGTGAGCTACTATTCTTAATATTATTAGGTCAGAGCCATCTTAATATTTTTGCTATATCTCAAGCCATCATTAATGTGTTGGGTAAACTTAAAAATAAAAGATTTTAAAAATTAAATTTTAAAATGAAAAAAATCACAAAATACTAGAAATTTTAATTAGGGAAAATTCTTTTTTTGTTTGTTTTTGTTTGTTTTGTGTTTTTGAGACAGGGTCTTGCTCTGTAGTTCAGGTTGGAGTTTAACATGCTGTGTAGCTTGGACTGGCCTTGAACTCACTTCGCTTAGTCTGCCAAGTGTTAGGATGATAGGCACCACCATGCCCAACAGGAAAATTATTTCCTAGGCTAATTAGTATGTTGAAAAGGCCATCAAATTTGTGATGCAACTATGTATTATGTACATTTGCTTACAGCCTTTCTGAGGAGAAAGAGACTGTGTGGCAGACAGGTGGTGGTTGGTGTTACTGTTAAAAGAGAGCTCCAGGTTAGACTCCTTTGGCATAGGCTGTTATATAGGTGGTGTTTTTATGAAAGTCTTGATTATGTCATTTTCTTTTTATACTCTAGTGATATTTTAAATGAACAAATGAATTTATTTCTGTGATCTGTTTGCAAACATACTAATGTGACTGTCATAAAATAGAATTGATTTCTAAATTCTTTTAATGTTTAAATCATATTCAGTATAAGTTCAAATTTTATTGTAACAAGGGGGAAAACCCTTATTTTTATCATTTGGCTCAGACTGACAAGGTTAGATAAGATAGCATGTAATATTGATGCTAGGAAAGCTTACTTGTTTTTCTTTTCTTTTTGCACTACTGAGGATTGAACCTAGGGCCTTTGCACTGAGTTACAACTCCAACCCTTTGAATTTTTCATTTTGATTCAGGACCTCATTAAGTCTCTCAAGTTCACCAGGTTGGACTCAAACTTGCAGTTCTCCTGCTTCAGTTTCCCAGAGCACCACACCTGGTTGGAGAGCTTAACTTTTAATGCCTCTGTTTTATTATAATTTGAACCCTTTATATTTATCTTTTGCTAGGGAAAACATTTATGGATTCTTGTGATAGAGATTAACATAGCATTGTTGAAAATCAAATTCTTTCCTACTTGATCAGTTTTCTTGGCTTGGTAAATTGTTTCCACCCTTATAGCAAAACCAACTAGCTATTATCATTGATTTTGTCTTATCTTCTGAATAGGAATCATGTTGTTTATTTATCATGTAATAGTTTGGGGGTTCTTCTTGTCCCTAGCACTAATACTTCTCTAGGGATATTATAGCTAGATGGGAGGGATCATGTAATGAACTGAAATATCAGCACTGTCCTTAGAGTGGTCCATAGCTAGTAAGCAAGAAGCAAATGTACGATTCCAGCATGGCATTGTAAGTGCTGTCGTAGAGGTCTGTAGCAGGCATTGTGGGTTCACTTAATCCATTTTAAATAATTAGGAAGGGTCTTCCCTATAGACATCATTTTATTGAGTACAACGTCTCTGCCTGACCCTTGGATAAGAGTGATAGTCTTCCATCATATAGTTTGCAGTACAGTAAGGCAGGCAGACAAAATAAATCATTATAAATGCAGCATAATAAAATGAGTAAGCTTTAAAAAAAATGAGTAAGTCTAAAGTATTGTGGATGTAGGTAAAAGAGAGACCTAATCTGATCTTTGTATGTCAGGAAGGGTTTTATAGAAAAAAATGATATTTTAGAGACCTAAGATGAATCTTATAGAGCAGAGAAATCATCTGACTAAAGCATCTACAGGTAAGACTGGAAAGGTAGGCAAAAAGTAGATTATAGACAGCCAAGTTTGCTATGCTAAGAAACTTGAGTACTTTTCTTGTTGGTATTGAGTAGCTATTGAAGGATTTTAAGCAGATAGGGTAGATATCAGATTTGTATTGTTACATTATTCCATTTCGACTTGAAGGAGTTTGTACATCTTTGCCATCTTGGTGGTGCTCACTTGGAATACTACCATTTTGGGAAATTGAGGCAGGAGGATTTCAAGTTCAATCCTGGCCTAGATTTAGTGAGGTATCGAAAAGAATTTTTTTTTTTAAGATTGAAGCTGATTGAACTTGACCTGAGTTCAATCCCCGGTACCAAAAAAAAAAAAAAAAAAAAACTGAAGCTATAGCTGTGTATGAAGACCCTTCATTCAATCCTCAGTACTAGGGGGACAAAAAAGATTTGCATGGAGGAGATAACTGAGTTAGCTGAGCACCAGTGTCCATGGGGAATAGTCAAAAAGCTGTTTTAAAGGGGAAAACAGTGAAGAGATGGATTGGCATAGGAATGGGTGGGTGGAGAATAATAATTAGCTGTATAGAAGTTATTAGGAAGTGGAGCTCATAAGACATGGTGAGCTATAAAGGATGAGGAAGAAGAACATGTCCTGTGATAAGATCCGCAATTCTGACATCGACATCTGAGTGGGTAGTGATACCAGTTACAGCAATAAGGGAATGCAGGGGAGGGAACAGATGCTGAGTTTGGTTTGAAACACATTAAGGTTTATGGAATAATCTAAAATGCATTCATACTCACTTAACACATACATTACAACCTTTTAACCACTTTGCATTCAAAATTATTCTTAATGGGAAGAAAGGTTTGGGGCATTATGTGTGACCATATATGTGTCGAGGAAAATGGTTCTAAACCAGTTTAGATTAGGTTAAAACTAATCTAGATTAACAACTATTATATGTTTATAAATGAAAAGCTAAAGAGTGTATTGTATTTTTCTCCAAAGAACTTACGGGGTGTGATCATTATCTCCAGGCCTGTTAAATGTGGACCTGTTTTCTTGTGTGTTAGAAAGAGTCAGCATTGTCTTAGTCACTTTCTTCGTTTCTGGGACACATTACCCAACCCCCATAATTCTAAGGACAGAATTTTGGTTCACAGTCGGTAGAGGTTTCATTCCATAACCCATTGGCTCCAAGGCAGAACAGCATGGCAGAGGGGCATACAGAGGAATAACTGTTCTTGTCACAGTGTTCCTGAAACAGAGACCATGGGAGGAGTCAGAGATAGATAAATCCTTCCAGGTCACACCCCCAGTGACCTGTCCCTTCTGACCAGACTCCACCTCCTAACAGCAGGTTCGCTGTAAGTCTCCTTAATCCAGTCACCTTCTTAATACATGAGGCTTTGGAATGGCCCTTGTTTTATATAAAATATAACAAACACTTCATCTACAATAGGGTACATCAATTTCAGTATCAGAGCTTAGCTACAGTTAATATACTATGAGACAAGACAAGCAATTGTGAAATTTAGTGTACCTGCACTTGAACTTATAAATAGCAAACTTCTTCCCAGTGTATGGTGGTTCTACTTGTATGGAAAGTAGGTCATGAGAAAGATCGAATGTGTTTATAAAAATTCACTCATCCACATATTGTTAATTATATGTTTTATCAAACATCGTTTTAGGGCCTAGCTACACAAAAGTAAAAAAGAAACAGGCCCTGCCCTCCTTGTGCTTATATATACAACAGTCTTTTCAAAACTTGAAATCTGCAACTATACCAGTCCATGACACCTGCTTGAAGCTGATCAGTAGTTTTTCTCCACATGCTTTAAACCCAGAATTCTCACTGTAGTGTTTTGCATTACCTAACTTCCTACCTCTTCTGTGTTACACTGTTCCATCGTGGAACCACATGGCCTTGTGTTAGTTCCTGTACCATATCACACTCTCTGTTGAAGTTTCCTCTACTGTGGGTGATTTGTGGTTCTTCAGCCTTTTGTCATCCTTCAAATCCTAGCTTAAATGTCACTTTTTCATAGATGCCTTTCCTAGCCCACTCCTAACTAGTTTTCTTTTGATCATTAATTGTTTGTAGACTTATTACACCAGACCATTAAACTTTATAAAGGAAGAAAAAATACCTGGCTTGTTCATTATTGAGTTTCCAACACCTGGCATAGTGCTTAGCACATTGTAAGTGCCAAGCATAATGCTTTCTTGAAAGGCTCAGTAAATTCAGTAATCTTTTCAACCCTAGTACTGGGGATTGAGCTGGTGCTTTGTCCATCCCGCCTCAACTTTAGTGATCTTAATGCTTGGTGTGTTAGCTGTCCCATCACTGGGATACAGTACATGACATACACATTTTAAGAGGACAGGTTATTTTGGCTCACAGTTTCAGAGGGTTCGGTGTATGGTACAAGACAAAAGCTAGAAACACTATGGTAGAAGGGCCTGGCAGATAAAGGCTGCTAAATCCATGGCAGCCAGGAAGAAGAGAGTCAAAGCAAGAGATATATCCTCTAAAGCCACAGCCTCTGTGACCCACTTCCTAGAACCTCCTAACAACCCCACCTTCTAACAGCACATTCAGCTGTAAACTCATGAATGGATCAATCACTGATGAATATGTCACTTCCATGATCCGTTCACCTTCCAAAGCCCCAACTCTGAAAACATGAGACTTGGGGGTACATTTCGATCTAAATATTGTACTTGATTTATACATGATACTATTTTAAGAATTAGAGGGCTAGAGATTTAGCTCAGTGGTACCATGCCTACCTCAAGCACAAGTTCAGTACTCAGTACCAAAAAAAGAATTAGAAGTGCTATCTGAAAATCTACAACTGGTCAATAGTTCTCAAATAGCATCTAATGGGTTGCAAAACATTCCATAATATGCAAGTTAGTCCTTTATGTAACAAAAGATTATCTGATCTTGTCAGTAGTACAGAGATGTACATCACTCAAGAGGATGATGATTGAATGTATCTGTTTTTCAGCACCTCCTCTGAGTTGATGCCAAACAACCTTAAACAGATTTTAAGACCTGGGGGCTTTTAGTTTTCTTATCTGTAGATACCTGTCAGATTTATCTGGTACAACACTGGATGGCATAAGCTCTGAGAAAGAATCAGTTGTACATGGAACAGTTAGAGGTAGAGTTAACCTTAATTTATATTCTTAGCTCTTAATTTCAGGCACTCATAGGTTGGATCCATGCTTTTCTTAAAGTTTATACAACCTGGCAGAGTTATAAATACAGTTATACTTATAGCACAGTTCTATGAGTGTTTTATTGGATAAGGCATAAAGCTAAGCAGTCATAGACTAATGTATTCTTAAAATGATTAGTATTTGCTTGCACAGTCTTAGAAATATCTAGTGGTTTTTTTGTTTGTTTTATTTACTAAGCTGTATTTGGAAATCTTATCAGTGACAATAGACATTAAGTTAGGAATGAAGAACTTTTAGAATGGAAATGTTTTAATTTGAACATTTTATTTTAGGAGCAAATGATGAGAAAGAAACAAGCAATGCATCTTGATGCAAGATATGTCACAATGGTGGAAAATGCTTATTACTACTGCAACCCACCTCCAGCTGAAAAGACAGTGAAAAAGAAACGTCCTCCTCTTCAGGAGTATGTCCGGAAACTTTTGTATAAGGATCTCTCTAAGGTCACTACTGAAAAGGTGAATCAATGAAAACATCTGATAATAGCTTGAGATATGTGGTAGTGCTATGCTCATATCAATTGTAGGAGAGGTGGATGGATCCCCAAAGCTCCATTTTGATTGATTTTGTATAGAACATCCTAAGAAGGGACTCATGATGATAATGCAGTTTTTAGAACATATATTTTGTTTGTGTCTGGTATTCTATAATAAATTTGCTATTAAATACTTTTGCTTTGGTGTAGAGGTTCTTAACCTCTTGTGGGCTCTGTGAGGCCAACAGCCCTTCTAAAATTTTCTGAGTTTGGACATCTAGCTCTCTGTATTTTTCTGAAGAGTCTCTGCAGCTTCCTATAGATATTTACCAAATATCAGTTTCCAGAAAAGTTTCAGAATCCCTGACCTGTTAATTATAGCAGTTACCTTGTTGGAATTTCACTTTTGTAATACTGAACAGAACATTTCCTGATTAACCATATAAGTTGACATACAATATAATACAAAACTTCTTCTCTTTTTAGGGTAAATAAGGAATAACAATTACAGCTTTGAAAATTGAAGACATTTTCCAGAGGCAATATTGTAGTTGTTTAACACAGTTTTCTTCTAACCACCATGGTACACACTTGTAATCTTAGCTAGGTGAGAGGCTAAGGCAGAAGAATTGCAAGTTTAAGGCTAACCTGGGCGACCTAGCAAGACCCTGTCTCAAAATAAAAGTTATAAAAAGCTAGGGTTGTGGCTAATGGTAGGACACTTGCCTGGTTTCCATACCCAGTACTTCAAATTAAGAAAGGAACACTTTTTAAATTGGCTCAGGGTTTGAAAAGTATTGAATATTAATGGGGCAGCAGAGAGATTGACATTTTCTGTGAAAGTGTTCATGAGGACAGTGTTTGATATGAGAAGAATGTTTTTCAGTATCTATTTTCTTTCAGAATAAAAGTGGAAAGAATGTGATTATAGATAGAGCTCTGATTATCTTGTTACTAGTAGAAGTTTTCACATAGTAATGGGACATCATAATGTGCCAGATACTTTGCTATATACTTACCTGCCTAATCCTTACTTTTAAACTGAATTACCCTGATGCCTTGGTTGTTGAACAACTCCAAGCTCAAACTTTCCACTATTTGAACAGCAAAGTTTTTTTAAAAAATCTGCCTGGTGTTGGTAACTTTGCTTAATAGTTGGACGGGAAATCCAACTTAAATCTGAATGGGCTGAAAGTAAGTCATGCATTGCATGTTGCCGCACACAGAAAGGGGAGACACTTCAGTGTAAGCACCACTCTTGGTTAGACAACCTGTAGTGCTTGTGTTAGTGCTTTAGAACATTCATCACTGTGCACTTTTTTGTGTGCTTTATTTGCATAAAATATTGTAACCATGGCTCCAAAGAAAGTTAGTGATACCAGCAGTAAAGCTAAAAGGAAAGCCATGAGAATCACAGTACAGTTAAAGAAAAGTAACTGCAAAATTTGTTAAAGTCCTGGAAAAATGAATTTCTAAGTGTAAATTTTTGGGCCTCAGAACCAATTATTTGGTTTTCCATTATTTCTTATGGGAAAAAGATTTAATTTATCAAAATTTTTGGTATATTGGAGCAAACTGAGTTTGATAACCAAGATATCACTGTAAGTACCTTTGTTACCTTCCATTTTATACACAAACAGGTGATTATGCAACATTGGTCTTGATGGAGTGTCCTCCATCTTAAATGATCTTTCAATTAGTTGATCTTGGGGTTACTTATTTGTTGGAAATTTGTTGAAATTGCTTTATTTGTTGGGAAATCTTTTTTTAAAAGAGTATTTACATGGAATAATGCACAAAACAGAGCACATTTTTTATAAACCATGGGTATTCCAGTAACATGAGTATATGACTCTATACTGTTAGCCTGATTGAAGACCTGGAAACTTGAGGAAATTATAAAAGCTGTACAGAAGTAAGAGTAAATTTTGTCATAATTAGAAAATCCCATCTTTCCTATCACTTTAAAGTAAGAGGCCAATAAGGCTAAAGTATTTCCCAACTTAAAAGTTCTGTATCTCTGTACAATAATAAAACACCTACATTATTTGTCCAGACTACTGTTTACTTATTTTAATCATTTAAACGAAACTCTCTTCATTCAGGTTTTGAGACAGATGCGGAAGTTGCCCTGGCAGGACCAAGAAGTGAAAGACTATGTTATTTGCTGTATGATAAACATCTGGAATGTGAAATACAATAGTATTCATTGTGTAGCCAACCTCTTAGCAGGACTAGTGCTCTACCAAAGAGACTCTATTATTTGCTGTATGATAAACATCTGGAATGTGAAATACAATAGTATTCATTGTGTAGCCAACCTCTTAGCAGGACTAGTGCTCTACCAAGAGGATGTTGGGATCCATGTTGTAGATGGAGTTTTAGAAGATATTCGATTGGGAATGGAGGTAACAAGGATTTTCTTTAAAGTTACCAAATTGGGATTAATGAAATAAAGCCTTTAAAACCCTAGTTTGAGGGACTGCCCTTTCCTGTATGGTACCACTTACTGCTGCCTCTTTGGAGTTAGTCATTTGTTAGTCTGAGGCTTGCACTGAAGTATTTTTTTGACTTTCTAAAACTATGAATCTTATTTTTGCAAATACTAAATTTTTATTTCTAGATTACTGTTGAAGTTCAAGTTATAGGAATTTATAAACTTATTAGAAAAGTTGATAACTGGGAATTTTCTGTGCTTTTTTCTTAATGTAAAACTTATGCATGTTTCTTAATTCATAGGTTGCAGAGAAACTAGCTTGTGGGGGCCTGATAAAGAGAGAATTACATTTTAACGGTTTTAAAAATAATTCATTTAATCATAGCTCAAAACTCAATTTAATATATAATATGTTCTTTTTATTAAAACTTTTATTTTTGGTACTGGGAATCGAACTCAAGACCTTGCACTTTCAAGGCAGACACAGTGCCACTGAGCTAAATCCCTGACCCCTATTAAAACGTTTTTAAGGGAGCCATTTCCTAAAGAGTAAAAGGATAGCCAAAAGTGAGTGTACTAAGTAGAAAGAAGTAAATTCATCATTTCTGTGTTCAGTGTTCTTAAGTAATTGATATTGATAAAGTAGACAGAATTTCCCTGTCAAATACATTATTACTCTTCAATGAAAATCTGTCTCTGTTTGTTTTTGTTTTTTTTGTTTTTTTTTAGGTCAATCAACCTAAGTTTAATCAGAGGCGTATCAGCAGTGCTAAATTCTTAGGGGAACTGTATAATTACCGAATGGTGGAATCAGCTGTCATTTTCAGAACTCTCTATTCATTTACTTCATTTGGTGTTAACCCAGATGGCTCTCCAAGCTCACTGGACCCTCCTGAGCATCTTTTCAGAATTAGATTAGTATGCACTATTTTGGATACCTGTGGCCAGTACTTTGACAGAGGTTCCAGTAAACGAAAACTTGATTGCTTCCTTGTATATTTTCAGGTATTTAAGCAAAATATGCAGGCTGATGTGTTTTAATGCATTGCATGTGTTAGAAATGCTGTCATATTAATTTAAGATATGTTCATAATTAGATTGTTTATTCATGAAAAGATGATTTTTAGGGATTTAAATTTTTATGTAAACATTGATCTTTGATTTTGAGAATGATTTTGGTATAGCTTAGGGGTTTGGTATAGAATTATAGATTATAGTATTTGATGCAGTAATTTATTAATTGAATTGTGATTTCTATGCATTTAATAACATTCTTCTTTCATCTATGTTCTGGTTTATGGCCAAAATTTTCATTTCTAAAAGTTTGAATTTATTATTTTTTAAACCCTTTTATTTTGGGGAAAATATTTTATTTGTAACACAGAAAGAAGTATTTTTTTCATTTATAAGTAAAGTTCCAGATTGTGCTTCCTATATCCTAATTTTGGTTAATTATATAAACTTGTGATTTGGAAAAAGTACAATACAAAAATTAAATTCAGTACAAGTACAAGGATAGTTCTACAACTTCTGTAAAATTTGTGCCCAGTAAATTAACTTGTGGGTTGATTGGTTGGAGCCCGATTACTATTTCTCATAAATACATTTTTATGAGTATTGATTAGGGTGAATAGTTCACTGTCAAGTACTTAAAATATTACTAAATAGCATAGCAATAATATATGACTGTATAATCACAATTATCATGGTTTTATTTACCTATTGATAAAGTAGATTTAATATTACAACATGAGCCATCAAAAATTCATACACAATGGCTGATAGTAAATGTTGATACATAAACATAGTGAATAAGTTTGTGAACTTTCTTAAAAATATCTTTGTGATATAGGACAACTTTTACTCCTTTATTTTCTGAATTGTTGAGAAAAAATGGGGAAAGGAGTTTGCAGACTTACATGTAAGGACTGTCTTAAGTTCATGACTATATTTAAAACCTGAGTTTTGCTGTAAAATGGCAGCTTTAACAATCAGCATCCATAATAGCTCTTTCAGGAAAAATCATTTGGATTCTACAGTCCCAGGCTAAGAGAAAAGAGAAACTCGGAAATATCTATGAGCAGAAAGACATAAGAATATTTTCCAAATTGATTAATAGGTCAAAAAACTGTAGCAGAGATACCTAGGGAATGGCATCAGAAGGGGCTGTGACCTGGGAGATGAGATCATTATATTCCACCTAGATTATAGAGTATAGGGTTAAGTTTTAGACAGCCAGGTAGAAGGATCTCCTGGAATAGAGCTTCTGACTTCATTGTGCATGCACATCCCCTGGGAACATTGCTGAGGTGAAGATTTTGAATAACTAGGGTTGGGGTCTAAGAGTCTGCATCTCTCACAAGCTCCTAGGTAACTCAGACATTTGAGTATCTAGGACCTAGTACAAATTAGAGTGGAAAAGTGAAGCACCAAGAGGTACATCTGTTCATATACTAGTAAGTTCTTAGGTTACATTTTCAGCTGATAGAAATTTAGGAATTAGAACAAAGAATGAAGGAACCAGGTTAGGAGGGAAGAGGGAAAATACGTACACAGTGTCATATACACAGTATCGTTCCACTTTTAGTGTATGTGCTGCTGAAGCGAGCGCTCCATATACACAGTAGATGTTCAGTAAATGTTTATTGATGATTATTGATTTTGATATATTTCAAAACTCTTATCTTCACATACTTTAATTGACGTTTTAAAGTAGTGAAAATTATTAAAACGGTATAAACTTTTTTAGGGTATAGGAGTAGTTTCTTTCATTTCAAAGTATCTGAACATTTTTTGGTGTTTATAATTTTTCCTTGTCTAAACAAAAAAGTTATAATAAAAAGATATTTAAAATAAAGTCACCAAGCGCTGGGGATTTAGCTCAGTGGTTCCAGTGCCTGCTTCACAAGAACAAGGACCCGAGTTCGAGCCCTGGTACCAAAAAATAAAATAAAATAAAGTCACCAACTGGTTCACAAACTGTAGAGATAGAGGGAAATACTAGCTGGAATGAGGGTCTTAGCTACTGACTATTAGTAAAGAATGGCAGATTTCTTATACCACTTTTCAACTTAGTTATAACTAGCATCACAATTACTATTTTTAAATATTTTGTGATTAATTTCCTATAGCTAAATTTATTTTTATTTGTCATCAGCGTTATGTTTGGTGGAAGAAAAGTTTGGAGGTTTGGACAAAAGACCATCCATTTCCTATTGATATAGATTACATGATCAGTGATACACTAGAACTGCTAAGACCAAAGATCAAACTCTGTAATTCTCTGGATGAATCCATCAGGCAGGTACACGAACTGGAACGAGAATACTTAATAAAACTAGGTAAGCAATTAATTAGAGAAAACGAAGATGATTTGGGTTAGATGGTATCTAGAATTTGCTCTATGATGTTACCAATCAGAGTTTTTATTTGTATACTTTGCTATTTTCTGTTTTGGATGTTAAAATGATACTATTAGGTAAGACTTGTGTTGCATGCTTGATTTCATTAAGTAATATCAAATTGAAATAAAACAGTCATGCAGGTCATGAAGCAAATGACAGTGGTGGAAAAGCACAATCCTGTCAGCAGAGAATCTTAGGTTGCTCATACTGTGATGTCTCCTTTTGATGAAAGTGTATATCTCATGTACAGACTAGATTTTCAACAGGAATTATTCCCTAAGAGTGTTCAGGATAGAGACTTAAAAAGTAGTGCCTGTTAGAAGTTTGGAACTACCTTACAGAACTTCAGACCTTATTCATTGGCAGAATTGTCGCTAGAGCATTATTTACATATTCAAAGAATCCTGAGATGTTTCTGGGAGAATAGTTAGCACATGAACAACAGCTCCCCATAGGGACTATGAGAATCTACTAGCTTTGTCAAGAGAGGTAACATGTACAAAATATAGCAGTACCAATCTTGGTGATAGTTCGTAGCATGTTTTACTGTAGTGCTTTCAATGTGACATGTTTTTAGAATACTAAGCAGTTTTATTTCCTGTTAGTACTTCATACATTCATGTTTGTCATTAGAGGATCTTTACCTTCACCAGTTATACTAACTATAAATTTATTACTGTGCATTTCCAAAGAACCACTCTTCATGTTGAAGACATGTATTTTTTTTGTTTTTGTTTTTGTTTTTTTGTGTGTGTTTGTTTGTTTTTTGAGACATGGTCTTCCTTTATAGTTCAAGCTGGCCCTGAACTCACTATGTAGCCCAGGCTGGCCTCGAACTTGTATCGATCCTCCTGCCTCTGCCTCCTTAGTGCTGGAATTACAGGTGTGGGCCAACGCACCCAGCCAAATTTATAATTTTTTACTCTTAAGAAAAATTACATTGACACACTAGTAGAATTCTTTTCTCCAAAGGTAAATTCTCTTTTGGAGACTAATTTTTGTGTTTTGTGCTATTGATTGTTTTGTTTTGTCTATTCAACCCAGTCCCAAAATAATTTTTTTTCAGACTGCTAGTTGAATAAGTGATAATTTCAAACATAATTTTTATTATTTATCAACTTACTTTCACTTTGTAGTCCTTGCAAATACTTAGTTATAGCCTTATCGGACTGGGGATTTAGCTCAGTTTTTCTGCCACCTGCCTTGCCAGCGCAAGAACCCAAATTCAGTGTCCAGTACCAAAAAAACAAAAACCATATAATAGAAATTAAGTTATAGCCTTATTGCCCCAAAACTTTGATGAATGATACTCTCTCTATCAAGGCATGAGTCACTATTATTGTGGCACTTAGTTTGGTATTATTGGTGATAAAGAGAACTAATTTGTGTTTTGTCCTTTATAGATCAAAGTATTAAAGGACACCAGGCTTCTTTTGAGGAGTCTAGAGAGAAATATAGGTCACCATTTATAAATGAAACTCTAGAAGTAGTAGCAGCTGCTCTCAAGTGTACTCCCATGTCATCTCCCTTTTCCTCTGGTTTTAGAGTCTAAATATTAGATGTATATAAGCAGAAATTCGATCAGTTTCCTGTAATATAAGAGGATATAGTATTTACCTTGGATGGTATTTTTGTTTTCAAGCTCCTGCAAATTTATTATATCATTTTAGGCTGGGGATTTAGCTCATTGGTGCTGCTGCCTGCCTTGCAAGTGCAAGGACCCACCCGAGTTCTATCCCTGGTACCTCCCCGCAAAATCAATTCTATTATATCATTTTAATTCTGTGGTATCTAATGCTAATAGTATAGTTAATGGAAAAAAAAACTAAGAGCATTTATTTATATTTTTAAATCACCCTTAATATTATTATAAGTATTAAGTAGTCATGTGGTAATTTTTAAATACCAGGAAAAGATATGGAAAGATAATCATATGTTAATGTTTTGATGCATATTCTTTAAAAAAATTTTTATGTGTGTTTGCAGTTTTATAACTGGATTGCTTCTACTCAATATGTTATGATTTTTTTTTCTGGGGTTCTTTTAAGTCTACTTTCAAATAGTGTATATTCCTTTGAATGTGCCATAATTTAATCCTTTTGTTTCACACTTCAGTTCCTTTCGAATTTTGCATTACTATAAATAACATTCTTGTGTTATTTTTCAGTGTACCTCTTGTTTCTTTAGGAAGCCATTACTAAGACATTTTCTTTAAATTTAAGAACAAAACCAAAGTGATAATAGGCAATATTATTTAATTCTGGTTTAGAGGATCCAAATAGTATTATAATTGGGCTGGGGATTTAGCTCAGTCGTTCTGTCGCCTGCCTTGCAAGCACAAGGACCCAAGTTGGATCCCTGGTACCAAAAAAAAAAAAAAAAAAAAAAAAAAAAAAAAAAGTATAATTATAAGGAGAGAAAAATGAAAAAAAGCCACGCAAACAAATTACATTTTTAAGCAAATGAGGGGGCTGGGAATTTAGCTCAGTGGTTCGGTGGCCTGCCTTGCAAGTGCAAGGACCCGAGTTCAATCCCTGGTACCAAAAAAAATAAAATAAAGCAAATGAGTATATTTTATAAATTAGAAATGAATTCAGTAGAACAGAATTTAAAGTCCAGAAATAATTCCAGTTAAAAATAAGACAATTTAGTATGTGATGAACTTAGAAGTCTCAAAAATGGAATGAAGAAGGGCCGGGGATTTAGTTCTGCGGTTCGGTGGCCTGCCTTGCAAGCACAAAGACCCGAGTTCAATCCCTGGTACCAAAAAAAAAAAAAAAAAAAAAAGGAATAAAGACAACAGGTGAACCAAATGGATGAAAAAGGTAAGTGTTTAAAAAGTTAAAAATAGATCCAATTATTTGTCAAGTATTTGAAGAAATGTTAATATTCCCCAATTTTTAATGATAGAAAAAACATACAAAAATGACAGATTTGAATATTTAAAATTTTCGTACAATGAAGCCAGTTGTGGCAGCACATACCTCTAATCCCAGTGCTTGGGATGCTGAGGAATAGGATCAAAGTGAATTTGAGGCCAACTTAGTCTGGCTATGTAATAAGTTCAAGGCCAGTCTAATCTATATAGTGAGAGCCTCTCTTTAAAAAAAAAAAATTCATATGGTGAGAAATAACTAAAATTAAAAGAAAAATTATTCCCATGCCAAGTTATCATCATTTATATAAAGAACATAGGCACATTGATGATTAATACAGTACCTACTAAACAGATAAATGAGCGTGACATAACCAAATAAGGGAGAGCAGAGGGGAGTTGATATTTTTATTGAATACTGCTTATTTGCCATAGTGATACAGGTATTGTTAGTCATATTTAACAAATGATTTAAATAAAGCCCAAATTAAACCACTAGGTCAACAATAGATTAAGATAAAATTAAGATAGAAAATTGTTCAACTAAGCAGCAAAATATAAATTAAAGCAATGTGTAAGGAGATATTAAAATTATTACCATTTGGGTTTTGAACAAAAAACTGAGGCACCAGGCTGTACAGATTCAAAGAAATGTATTTTGTTTGTTTGTTTGTTTTTTGCTACTGGGTATCGAACTCGGGTCCTTGTGCTTGCGAGGCAGGCAGCAGAACCACTAAGCTAAATCCCCGGCCCAGAAATGTATTTTATTTTGGCACCTTTTTTTTTTGGTACTGGCGATTGAACTTGGGACCTTGCGCTTGTCAGGCAGGCAGCAGAACCACTGAGCCAAATTCCCGGCCCTTTGGTGCTTATGTACTACATTTCACTGTCTATATTTTACATTTTGTTAGCTGTAGCTCCTTTATATGTTCATTTTTATCTGCGTTGTTTATTGTAATGAGTCAGCATCTTGATAATTGGTACACAATTTGGCAAATGCAAAATATTCAGGAATTGTTTTTTAAACTAACTTGCAGTAAATGAAAATGTATTAGAAACAGTATGTATTTTAAAAATTGGTTTAACAATAGCCCACAACCCTCGGACCAACTATTTTACAAATTGGAAATATGTCAATCAAAGTTAGAATATACTGTGATTCTCATGATGCATAATTTAAGTAGATATGACACTTTAATGGAGATATTTCACATCAGATGAACATCACTGCATGATATTTTTTACTAAAAGCTTAGGTTTATAAACTTCTGGCTTTTCTTTGTTTGCCTTTGATAACTCAGTAGTCACATATTTTACTTTTAAAGTTCAAATAAATAAATATATAAAATTATTTTACCTATGAAAACTAGTTAAGTAATAAGTAGAAAATCCTTAAGTTAATGGAATCTCAGTCTGACACTTTTCCTTAGTATTCTTTCCCTTTAAGAAATAGATCTCTCTGGGCCAGGAATTTAGCTCAGTGGTGCCTCTGCCTGCCTTGGAAGTGCAAGGACCTGAGTTCGATCCCTGGTACCACCCCCCCAAAATAGATCTCTCTGATCCTCACCCATCTTCTCAATTTTTTTCCTTTTCAAACCGAATATAAATGCCTTAATTGCTCTGTACTTCCAAATATGTTCAGTTGCTTAGATTTAACACATGGGAGTAAATTTCTTTTGTGTTGATTAGCCTTTGTTATTCAAACTTTGGCTTTTACTATTTATAAAATGAACAGGATTAAATCTCATTATTTTTTCCTGCTCTAATCTTCTAAGAGCGTATTGATAAACAAGTATTTACTCAACATCTACTGTGTATTTATCAATATATAGCCTCTGTTAAGTTTTAAATATATAAAGTGAGTTGTCTTCAAAGGCCTTATCTGATCTGACATTTATGAAATCGTTAGAAAAAATCATGTGCTATATCATCCAATATAAAGTGCTATGAAAAATTTTGCAAGTGCTCTAGGAACAAGCAGGAGAAGAAATAAGTGCTCAGTGATTAATATAGAAAAATAAAACATTGAACTGGGATGGAATGAATTGAAAGTACATATAGAAGAGTATTCTGTATTGAGAAGGATATTCAGTGAGTAGTAAGATCTGAAGACAGTATGCTCTGACAGGAAGAGTCTGAACCAGCTGTGGGAGGTTGAGAAGAGAGTAGTGGGAAAATAGATCAAATGAGGTCACATCTGTGTGCAACTTGAAAATAGAGTGGGTTGAAATTCAAGCAGCATGTAAAAGCTAAATGTGCAGTGAGATGTGGGATGGATGTAGGAAGTGGAAGCATCTTTAGGACAGGAAATTCCCTGGGGAACAGGATACTGTCATTGAAGAAAAAAAATTTAAGACTATGTGGTAACAAAAACTGCTGTGTCTTTTTGCCTCCTTCCCTGTCTTGATCTGAGGACATTGAGATTGATAGCCAAATGTATGTTCTCCATTCAAGTGACATGGTTTTATACGTGTACCTTTGGGGTTTTAGAAATCCTTGAAATAATCATTTCATAGAGTATCACCAGGTCTGTTTCCTGTGTGTCTGAGACTGAATCTTATCTATGGCTGCATTTGGCCTTTGATCATTGACAGTAAGATTAAACAGGATCACGCATAACTGAAGCACTAAGAAAAGGAAAAAAAAACTTGCACACTTACGTATTTTTTCCTCTTTGCTAATGCTTAAGAAATATATCAGTGCTTTTGTTAAAATGTAGATCTAAACATACTTTAAAAATGTTTTCTTATGGTATAATTCTGATCTTTTACCATTGTTCTGAGGAAGTGACTGTCGAATTATCTTAATACATATTTTTGAAGGAGGTGGTATGAATGTAGAAAATTGGCCTTTATATTTTTAATGCATTTTTTTCCATTTTCTTCTCATTTCAAGGCCTAGTAAATGACAAAGAGTCAAAAGATTCTATGACAGAAGGAGAAAATCTTGAAGAAGATGAAGAAGAAGAAGAAGGGGGAGCTGAAACAGAAGAACAGTCTGGAAATGAAAGTGAAGTAAATGAGCCAGAAGAAGAGGTGATGACTTTTATTTATAGCAAATAGGTACATTTAGAGTATTTTGATTATATGAGCCAAGACTTTCTTAAAACATAAAATGATATCTTCCTCTTAGTTTTATTATAGTAAATGTAACTAGTTGTATATTTCCATTACAAAATCACTTAAAGGTTTTTATAGGAATAAAAGATTCATATCATAGGTGAATTAACAATTTGAAGAAAAATACTGATTTCCTATCTCTTTAGTGAATGTGGATTTTTAACCTGTTGGTTTTACAGTCTTAAAAAACAAAATAGCTGACTAGATATGAATAAGCTTTGCTTTTATTTTTTCCTAGCTCTAGTAGTATATGAAATCTGAAATTTATGGTGTATCATACTCTTTTTGTTTTTATGATTCTGTTTTATAACCATTTGAAATTGCTGCTCCAGTCTACGGCCATACCACCCTGAACGCACCCGATCTCGTCTGAAATTGCTGCTCCACCATTTTTGGCCTGCTAAAATGTCATTTTCATAGGGTTGAACATAATAATTTTAATACTGTCATCATTTTTTTCTTCCATATCTGCTTATGCTAAAAGTACTATCAGAGTAAAAGGATATCTGAGTTTGTTTCATAGGCGAATGAGGGGAATGAGTTAGGAGTATAGAAGAAGTAAAACCATGGATCAGTAATTGTTGTGTTGTATAACAGGTAAATAGGGATTCATTATACTAGTCTCTGTACCTTTATATATGCTTAAAGTATAAAATTAAAAATAAAGTTTTTTGGGCTGGGGATTTAGCTCAGTGGTTCTGGCGCCTGCCTAGCAAGTGCAAAGGCCTGAGTTCAATCCCCAGTACCAAAAAAAAAGGTTTTTTAAAAGTAGGAATAGAGTACTAGGAAAAATAAAACTTAAACCAAAAAATTAGTAATTGTTCATTGAGTTTTGGGTATACATTTCAATTATGTGATCGTTGAGTTAGTACATGTGCTGACAAAGTAAATACTACATCATTATAATTTAGTGGGTAAGATTTTTTTGTGTGTGTTCCTTGGTGCTTAGCATTTAGGATAGTTTAATAATTTAAAATATGATCTAAATTAAATATTGAAAAACATTTACAGTTAATATTTAAATGTTAAGAAACTGAATTTAAGTTTTAAATTATCTGAGTAAATCCAATATAAATATAGAGAATGTAGGCTGCTTAATGTTTAAAAGAATATCAATTGTTTAAAGTGTTAATAAAATTCATGAAGTAGACTTTAAAGCCAATAAGAGTCAAAGTAAAAGGGGATCTGGTAATTCCAGTGATAAAAAATTTTTACAGTTAAAAGTAAAAAAAATCCATGAGCCTATGTTTCCTTTGATGTGTAATTATTAACAAACATTTAGTATGATTTGATTACTACAGATAGCTTTGAAAATGATTATTTTAAAATGTGGTCATCCCCCCTGTCCCCAGTAAGGGGGATCAAATTCAGAGCAGGCGCAGTGCCACTGAGCTAATTCCAGGCCCAACGTATGGTTTTTCTGATGGGCTAATATTTATTGGCAGTGGAAATGCACGTTTAAGTGTTTGTGTTATTTGCTGCCCACTCATTCCAGCCTTTAAAACTCCCTCAAACTAGATAAAAACAAATTAATAAAAACTTAAGACTTGACTATATTTCTGCAGTTGGATTCAGTAAAATAGATGAGCATTATGTTGATTTGTTTACAAAATGAGATTGTTATAGAAACATTCTGTTATATAATTTAAATTGCTTATGAATTATAACAACAGAAATGAGAAAGTTTCCATTTTATATAGTCAGACTAATCTTATGGTTATCTTTGGGTTTTGCTGCTGTACTTGAAATTAGAGGAACATAATCTGTTAAATCCAACATCTTTAGTAAATGTGACATCAAACAAGATTAATGTTCTTATAAATTTTTCATTTGAAGAATTGTAAGTTTTTCTATCAAAATGCATTTCCTTATTTTCAGACTTGAACTTTACAATTTTGTCATTTTTTAGCTATTATTTTTCTAGTTGGAAAGTGAATATTGTCCATAATATATGTATGTTTGCTAAAGGAGAAATGCAGACAAGATGTTCACATGGAGGATCCATATGCCTGTGTCTGGGAGGAGGGAAAGTGTGGTATACTTTAGAGGAGTACAATTAGAATGATTTACTTCTCTTCCTACTCCCAAGACCACTGTTTCCCATGACTGCCCTCCAGGTATAAGGAGGAGAAGTGTTTTGAAGAAAGAATATGTGTTATGAAATAATAATTTCAGTGAAGGATATTCTACAGCTACTTACTCCAACTGAAAAAGAAAAGTATTAGAATTCAGCTCTTTAAACAAAATGTAGGACAGAGATTATAGCTCAGTCTTAGTGCACATATTTAGCATGCACAGGCTCCTCCCTCCCCAGCACCCTCCTTGTCCCCAAGGTGTTTTGTTTTCACCTTGATCCCAACTTCTTCACTTGATCTTAGCTAAAAGGCCAAGAAGTGATTGATCCCAACTTCTTAAAGCTATATATCTTAACACCTGCCAACCACAATATTTTCTCCTGCATACCAGCTGTGCAACCCAAAGGTAACTGTTTAAAGGTTATAAATGTTCTTCTGCTGAAACTCTTAATTTTCTACAGCATTTATATAATTTATTATCAGAAAGTACAAGATTTATTATTACAGTAGCAATAGTTATTTACTGAGCATTTCTTATTTATGGTTTCTGTCCAATTCATTATTTTTATATTACTATTTCTCATACTGCCCTTGACATAAATGAAACAATTTAAGGCACAGATTAAGTAATTTGCTAAAGTCTCACAATAGCAGGGAGTATTTGTACTTGGGCTGTTTATCATTTGCTGTGCTGACCCTCTTTTTACCCTAGTCTGTTTAGATTTTGTAGTACACCTCTTCTCAATTCCACCCATTGTTAGTGTACAGTGGGTTAAGGACAAATGAAATTCTTGTCCACCTTTTTACTTTGAAAAATCAATGTACTTCATATAATTGACTTTCTGCATCCAAGGGTTCAGTTGTGAGTTGAAAATATTCAGGGGGAAAACTGCAGCTATGCTGAAGATATGCACACTGTTTTCCTTGTTACCATTCCTTAAAGAATACTATATGACAGCTATTTATATAGCACTACCATTGTATTAGGTGTTAGAAGCAATCCAGAGATGATTTAAATTATGTGGGAGAATGTGCATGGGTTATGTGCAAACCCTGCACCATTTTATATGAAGGACTTGAGCATCTGTAAATTTTAGTATGCAATCTCCCTTAGATACCAAGGGATAACTTTATTGCCCAAGTAGTAAAACAAATACTGTACAGGGAGGGGAGAGAAACTTAATGCATTTTAACTTAGCTTAGGTTAGTTTTTTAAGAAGTATATTTTAAGTGTTACAGGTGATTCTTTTTTTTAAGGGCAAATTAATGAACATCTTTTGCAAATTTAGTTTTTGATTACAGAATTGCCTCAAAAATTGATGCATTTGGAGGAAAAAAGTGTGTACTTTTTTGAAGTGTTTAGTTTCTAAAGAAACTAAAAATCTGCAAATGTCTATAGTAAGTAATAATATACTGCTGGACTTTGGGAAATAATTGCCACACAAAAATATTAAAGATTTAAATCATTAGTTTTAGAAATTATTTCTTAATTATCTTGCCATGATGAGCAAGAACTGGGATTTTATACATATTTATGGGCCTACACGTGATCAAATTAGGGTAATTAGCATTTCCATCTCAAATGTGGATCATTTTTGTGTTTGGAAGAAAATATGATACACAGTGGAATATTATTGTGCTATAAAAAGAATGAAATCCTGCCATTTGCCCTCAGGTGGCTTGAGCTGGATATTGTTATGCTCTATGAAGTAAGCTAGGCTCAAAAGGATGAATATTACATTTTCATTCATTTGTAGAAGTTAGTAAGAAACATTTTATAGAAGACAGTAGAATAGTGATGAGACGGGGAGAGAAAGGGAAATAGAGAAAAATTAGTGTGGCTTTTTTCTTTCAACTTGAGCATGAAATATATTGTTGGAGTGGTGGAATAAATAGATGGAGCTCCACTGGGTGCTTTGCACCTTTGACAGTCCATAGGGGCTCTGCCTGTGTTCCACTAAGTTAAGAATTTTTAGCTGATGGGAGGAAGTTGTGCTTGAAAGCCACGGCTTAAATGAGCAGAAAAGCTTGCTCTTCTGTTTAACAGGAGTGCATCCTTGGTCAAGTCACTTAACTTTTCTGAGCCTTTTTTTAAAAAAAAAAATGTATAAAATAGAAACAGTAAGACTTACTCTTCCATTCTGTTGTTCACATTGCGTAGAGCAAAGTATGTGAGAGCACTTTCCAAACTGAGGTGCTGAATCATTTTCAGCTGGTAACTGTTAAATTTGAACTTTGTAGAATTAGATGAGTATGAAAGAACTACAGTGAGACAGTCTGCAAGATTCGTTTCGGGGGAGAAAAGTACCAAACTTCAGGGTACTGATTCCTTACAGAAATCAAGGAAGAGTTTCTACAAGGAATCTGCATTATTAGAAGAGTGGGAAGCTAGTGCAGTGGGTTTTCAGCTACTGTTATGTAAGGAACATTGCCATCTGACTGCCATACCAGTAAGACATTTTAAAATCTTTTCAAGGTATAAAAAATCTAGGAACCCTCTTCAAGTGTTTTAATCTTTCAATGTTAAACAATTTCAGGAGGGTTCTGATGATGATGATGAGGGAGAAGAAGAGGAAGAGGAGAATACAGATTACCTTACAGATTCCAACAAGGAGAATGAAACTGATGAAGAGAATACTGTATGTATGCCTGAAATTTTTGCTTTTTGAATGTGTAGCACTTTCATAGTATTTGAATTTTGTCCACTAAAGTTTTGCTTCTTTTGAATATTGAAAGGTATGTGTTTGGAAGTTAATTTTCAATTTATTTTCCTATCCATTTACTTTATTAACAAGTTATTTAACACTTAATAAGGTTTTATGTTTTATTCACTTATTCCTTTAGTTATGTTGAACACATTAATACAAAAAGGCTCTGCTGTATGAAACATTACAGTTAACATCTGTGGTCTCATTTTTATTTTTTAATAAGGAGGTAATGATTAAAGGAGGTGGACTAAAGCATGTACCTTGTGTAGAAGATGAGGACTTCATTCAAGCTCTGGATAAAATGATGCTAGAAAATCTTCAGGTATTAAATATCACTATTTCAAAGAATCGTTTCAACACAAAATGTTGTAGCACACTGAATTCTGGCTGATATGGAGTCTCTATTATCTAAACATCTGCTTGTGATAGCAGCTTTTCCTTTTGTGTATACAGCTTGCAGCTGCCAAGTCTTGCATCCCAAATCTTGATTTTCATAATGTTCTGAGGAAGAATGGGAGAAAATATAATAAATATAAGACTCAGAACAAAATAATTTCATTGTGCCTTTTCTCTCTTAAGTCCTATCTATTTTGAAATACTTTTTCTTATACTTTGCTTAGGAGCCAAACATCGCAAAAGATAAATAATTGAATTTGGTCAATTCTTATATTGATTTATTTTTTGAATAGTTTCTATGTAAATAGAAAAGTATTTAAGGAAATGTTAGTTTGTAGATGTATTGATAGCATTAATAAAGTAGATTCTATAAAAAGCTTTATCTAGCAGATCCTGATGTACCGCTGTTACTGGGGCCCACTTTCCACCTAGCGGTTTTTTAAATGTCACAGCAGTTTGGAGTAACTGCATTTTCTGTAGTGACAGGTAAAATCTCTTCAGTGTTTGATACCTATATGTAGTTGTGATGCTTTTTGGTGACTTGAAAAGATTGCTTTTGTTGGTATGAAGGGTTATCAGCCTCTGTGGGTAGGGTCAGTGGAGAATGGAAGGAAAGGAGTGAAGATCTGAATATAGGTAGCTATTGGGGAGTTTTTTTAGAAGCTGAAGAGAAATAGAGAAGTAGCTAGGGCAGATCTCTGAGTGAGGGTTTTTAAAGGTAGAAAATACTCAGTATATGCTAATGGAACAAACCTTTTTATAAAAAATAGTGGGTTTTACTTGATACTAGTACAGCCAAAGTAATAAAGCACAAGTTCACATAGGCATGTTAGACCATTCTTCTGCTCCTTTCATATATTGAAATACTTCTTCACAGATCTAGAAACCTCTTAATTTATAAATCATATCTATATGTATGATGTAGGACTGAGTCATCTAATAAATCATAATCATTGTAATCCCCTTAAAGAGAAACGAAAGAGTTTATTTAAAGACACTTTTCCTGGGCCAGGGATTTAGCTCAGTGGTGCTGCCCCTTGCCTCACAGATGCAGGGTCCCAAGTTCCATCCCCAGTACCAGAAAAATACAGACACTTCCTATCTTATGTATGCTGTTAACTTTTACTCATGCAGTGGTTTGTTTGGCAAATGTTTTTTGAGCATCTACTATGTGCCTAGCAGTATACAACCATCATTGTCTCTATTCTTAGAGAAACTAAGCAAATACGTAATTTCAAATTCTGGTAATTGCTAAGTACAGAATATTTTGTTGCTAGAAAGGGAAGGGCCTCATTTAGGTAGAATATTGGAGATGATGTTGCTAAGATTGTGAATTCTAAACACAACAGGTAAATTGAAGCCATCCAGGTGAAAGATTAAGGGATTAATGTGTCAGAGGTTCTGAGAGAAGAACTTGTATTTAAAAAGCTTAAAAAAGACTGGTATTAATAGAACATGCCCAGAGGGTGGTGGTGTGGTTCAAGAATGGAGTGTTGCAGTGGAACCCCTTGGGGGCCCAGTGCTGTATGAAGGAGGTTCAAATTGGGGCCAGACTAAAAGGCAGGGAGACTGAGCAAAGGCTGTTGTGGTGAGCCAGCTGAGCAGTGGTCCTGTGTCTCATAGTAGCAGGACACTCTGAAGTTGATTTTAAAGATCTTTTGGAGGTAAAATGAACTGGATTTATGTGGTGCTTCATTGAATATGGGTTTGTAAGATACAAAGAGTCAAGGATGACAACTCAGTTTTCTAGGTTGGGTCACTGGCTACTCTCCAGGAAAGAAAGAGTGAGCAAGATCTACTTCAGCTGTGCTAAGCTTGAATGGCCTGAGGGTTGTCAAAGTATCTGGAGGAAGAGTTGCATAGAGTGAAAACATAAATGTGGTATGCAGAGTATATTTAAAGCCATGGAAATAAATTAACCAGGTGTACAGTGTGGAGCAAGAAGGGAAACAGTTTCAGGCTGAACTCTGAGAATCCCCAACATTCAAAAACAAAGTTACAGCCAGACAGGATGGCGCATACCTGTAATCTCAGCTTCTTGGGAGGCTAAAGTGGGAGGATTGCAGACTTGAGCCTCATTTGGGCAATTTCATGAGACCCTGTCTCAAAGTAAAATAAAAATACCCGGAAGTGTGTAATTCAGTGGTAGAGAACTGTATTCAGTAACAGCACTGCTCCCCCCCAAAAAAGGAAGAGCTGATGAAGTAAAAGAAATAGAAGCTTTTGATATGGTCCAATAATTAATACTCATTGCAAGTTCTTAGAAGAAGGAACTGGAATTATGTAAGATGCAGGAGGGAAGTACAAATTCACATTTTTGCAGGAGATAGTGTGTTAGAGAAAAACTCAGTTCTCTACTAGGACCTAATTTTTTTATGCATTATCAGATACTGAAGTGAACAGCTGTACAGGCTATATTGTGATGAAGTTGTCAAAGGAATATGCCATGTCTGCACTGATTCTTTAAAAATTAGGTCCTTAAATTTAATGCAACCCTAATTATATCCCCCTGGGAGATTTTTTTTGGGGGGTGGAAGGACAGAGAGGAATTTAGAATGAACTTAAATCATTGTTAAAAACATCTATAAAAAAATAGCTAAGTAATTTGCGGAAAGTGAGAGTGAAATGCTGTATAAGATATCAAAGCATTTTTAACTTACAGTGATAATTTATCACAAGAATAGATCTGTGAAACAGGAGTCCAAACAAGACATAAAACATGGCAGTTCAATGTGATAATGATTACATTTCAAGCCAAGTATGATGGTACATGCCTATGGGAGGCTAAGGCAGTAAAATCACAAGTTGTAACTCACCCTGGGCAACTTAGTGAGACCCTGTCTCAAAATAAAGGGCTGGAGATAGCTTAGTGTGAAAACCCTAGGTTCAATCCCCAGTATGCCACCTCCCCCCCCCAAAAAAATAACATTTCAAGTCAAAGGGAAAAGTTTTAATAAACAACAGCAACAAAAAGCTGGATTCTCCAAGTGGTCTGTAAATAAAAGTTAATGTGCATTTTAGTTTTACTTTCAACTAGAATTAATAATTGCTCTTTACATACTTTTTTTCTTTTTCTTTTTTTGGTAATGGGGATCGAACTTGGGACCTTGCCCTAGCAAGTCAGGCAGCGGAACCACTGAGCTAAATCCCCAGCCCTGTCATATACTTTAATAAGTACAGAGACTATTGGGTTCTGCATCAAGTGCTGCCAGATAACTATTAGTATTCCTGTTTTTTATATAAAACTATGTTACCTTAGAAAGGCTAGAAGCATACATAGCTACTTAGTAGTTGATCCTATTTTATTTTATTTTATTGATGAATCAAATTTGCCCTGTTAGGGATCAAATTCTTGTGCTTGTTGGGTAAGTCCTCTACTGCTGAGCTCTTTTTGGAACCTCTGCTCTGTTGTTTTAGCGTTCAGAATGCCAAGTATCTTGAAGAAATGACAAGTTGGGGGGTACAGGGAAAGTAGCCTATACAACAAAGGGGAAAACCTGTACTATATATACAGCAAGAAATTTTTTAAACCAATGAGAAAGGATAAGTAGTCCCCTTTTTTTATTGCATGAAAGGTAATTGGCAAAATCATTTGGAAACTCACCAGTAATCAAAAGATACGCAAATTAAAATTAGTCTTTTTTGCTTATTGTACCATCAGATACTAAGATTTACATAGTGATAACACCCTGTGAGGTTTGCAGTTTGGTAACTGTGAATTGGTCCAGCCTTTTGGAGTGGGTGGCTCTATCAAATGGTCATATCATTTGAACTAAAAATTTACCTCTGGTCAGTAACTCTTTTTATATGTGTATACAAAGATGTCACATTATTTCTAATAGAAAAAAGTCAGTTTTCTGTCAGTAGAGGCCCAATTAAATAATGGCACATGCATATAATTAGTTCTCTATAGTCAAAGAGACACCCAAGATTAAGATTAAAGAGAAGAAAAATATTTATGTTTACTGTAGAACAATATAGTTAATGGTTGTTTATGGCTATATCTGTGTATTACTAAATGCAAGAGAAAATCTGGATGACATACTCCATTATGAACATTGTTGCACTGTGAGATGGGGCAGAGAGAGGTAAACTGAAGGAATTAGTGCTGACACTAATACATTTTATATTTAAATATTTTATAAACAATGTTAATTTTATAATCAGGAACAAATACATTGTAAATGAAGATGTGTTTGCCAACTCTTCAAATTTTAAGTAGAACATTTCATAAATCTTAGGAACCTGGGAGTCCTTCAAGCACATTCTAAACGGGAGCTTTAAAATCAAAACCAATAAAGCCACAGCTTTTTGCTTGATTTGTGAGTCTCTTGAATGTATGAGACCTATATCAAAAGACTATTTAAGTGCTAGGTGAGCAGTTTCAGGACTTTCAAAGCTTTTCAGCATTACCTGCCTAGCTTTGAAAAATTATTCTGCTCTATGCAACAGGACATTGAGAATTATTTGAAGTTCCCTAAACACTCCATACTGTTTTGTGTTGTTTGTGCACCTGTTCTTCCTCTGCATAAACTCCCTCTATACTCCCAAAATTGCTCTTTAACCATCTGCTTGGAAAACGTCATATGTCCCATTTCTATTCAGCCTTTCATGAAATCTCTGTATCCATCTATTTCCAGCCAAGCACAGATACTCTGTTCTGTACAGGTAATACATACCTCTGATACATTGTATTTAATTTACTTAAATCTATCTTAAGAAGTTCTTGAGCTCTTTGGGATCAAAATCTGTCATTTAAATCTGTCTCCAAGCCTAACACACAGAAAGAAATCTTTAGTGAAGGCTCATTTAGTTAATTGGTTGAAAAGTTCATTGTAAATGTTAAAAATAATGTATATTACCAACCAAGATTTTGATGTGAATGTTTATAGATTCCATTTATTCTTAAATATTTCTTGAGCGTCTGCTGTGTATAAAGAAAGCTGAGGCACACTGGGGAAAGGGAACACACTACACTTGCCCAATCTCAGAGGATTCAGATTGATAAATGGCCCATTATGAAACTATAATACCTCTGAAGGAAGACATTTGCTCTAAGGATGCATACAAGGGCAGAGTGATTTGAAGAACAAGGAGTCAGGAGCCCAGTCACATTGTTCCTTCCAAGTAATACATAAAGGTTTTGGGTGGTGGGCAAGAAATAGTCCCCGAATTCATCTATGTTTCACAAAGCATCTCTTGTCTCTTGGGATTGTTGTGTTTTAAGAAATACAGTACCCGATTAATTATTTGCAATTTATATATATACATATCCATGTGTATCTAGGAATATTTATTTACTTTTTAATTTGTCTTTTAAGCAACGAAGTGGTGAATCTGTTAAAGTGCACCAGCTTGATGTTGCTATTCCTTTGCATCTCAAAAGCCAGCTAAGGAAAGGGCCTCCTCTTGGCGTTGGGGAAGGAGAGGCAGAGTCTGCAGACACGATGCCATTTGTCATGCTAACGAGAAAAGGAAATAAACAGCAGGTAAGAAACTGTCTACTGTGTAGTTATAATTGATTACTTATCAAGCATAAGGAGTAACTTCGTTTTATAGATTCTTAATTGCCTTTTGCCTACAAAGAAGGGTTGGAAATTTAAAGTGTTCAGAGGTAGAAATAACTTTTATTATATGTATACAAGATATGTCTGACTTGTAGAGAATAGATATATTTTAATGAAAAAGACATTTTAAATTCAAGCCAGGTATGGTGTTTTACACCTGCAGTGCCAGCTGCTCTGGAGGTTGAGGGAAGAGAATTCATAAGTTTGAGGCCAGGCTGGGCAACTTAGCAAGATCCTATCTCAAAATAGATTTTTCTTTTTTTGCGGGGGTACCGGGGATCGAACTCAGGTCCTTGTGCTTGTGAGGCAGGTGTCAGAACCGCTGAGCTAAATCCCCAGCTAAATTTTCATTTTTAAAAAAAAGGGCTGGGATGTAGCCTGGTGCTTGTCAGCTGTGTTTAATCCCCAGTGCCATAAAAAAAAAAAAAAAAAAAACCCTTTTGTTTTAATTCTTGTATATATATTTGTAAGATTATGTAGATACCTTGACTTTTAGTAGTCTGGCAGCTAATCTGTGTCAAGGAAATAGTAATTTGCCAGAATTGCTCTTGAAACTCCCTGTTGTTCAACCCCTAATTCCTTCTTCTTTCCCTTAGCTTACAGATGACCCCATAAAACTATTTTCTTGACTACTGAGTTGGTTCTTTAAGGATTCATACAGCATACTTCACATATATTTTGAACATCTGCTTTGTTCTAGATACTATTCTGTGTCCTGAGGCTCTAGTAATAAATGAGATAAAGTCCCAGCCCTCATGGAATTTATGTTCTAATAAAAGAGGTGCACACATATATGTGCAAGTAGTGGAACATGGTGTGACGATTAAGGCCAGCTCTCAAACACAACTCTAGGAGGTATCATATATCAGTGCTATAAAATGTTTTCACATTTTAACCTTTCTAAAATCAGGTTTCTTCTTAGAGTTGATGGGATAATTAGCATAATTATAAAAATGATGTGTAACATAGTGATGGCATTTAGAATAAATGGAATGCTGGATTCTTTGAAATGCAGTAAATACCACAGTCATTTCAGTAAGTCCAATATGTACCTTTCCCCACATTCACTCACGTAGCCACTCAACAAACATTTGTTTACCTATCAGATCCTAGGTACATCTGTGTACAGAACACGTAAAAATAGTGAACCAAGTTCTTCTTTTGGGAGCTGTCATTCCAGTTTTGGGCAGCATACAGTAGAGAAATACAAAATATTAGTTTGGGGAAAATAAAGCAAGTTAACAGGGACAGAGACAGGAATAGGGAGGAGCAGTGAGAAGCGAAGGTATCTATATTAGATGCCATGATCAGGGAAGACATCTGTAATGATGCATTATCTGTGTTGGAGAAAAGTACTCTGTCTCTTCCCCATCGGGACAACCTCAAAGAGGTGATGTCTAAATGAAGTTTTAATTTTCTTGTTAACAAAAGGGATTGAAGTTGTGTAGTATGTATTTTGTTGCATTGCAAGGAAATCATGATACATGAACTGCATATCAATTAGAATTATGGAATGTGGGGCTGGCAAAGACAACCTCATGCCTTCTTCTTGTGGAAGTTAATTTTGACCCATGTTCAGAGCACTGCTACATCTTCCTCACGCCTCACGCACTGCCATTCTCAGGCCTTGACTCCCCCAAAGCACTAACCAAAACTAATGATGCTTTCAAGAGAGCCCTATTCCTTCCTCATCCCGCACTCTTAGTTTCTAGGGAAAATGAGAGCTATTTTGGGCCAGCACCTTAAACTTAATGTTATATCCAGATCATTGTCAAAACTGATCTCAGAGCACCTAGTGGAGTTAGTTCACCAGGTTTAGCAGGGTTCTTAAATCCCAGAGCATTTGCTTTTCTTCTCTAGGAACTAATTCTCTGAGCTGGGCTTTCCTATGCCTATTTCAATCATTCCTTTCAAAGTGTCTGTCTGTCTGTCTGTCTGGCTTTCTTTCTTCCTTTTATTTTCTTTATAAGCACTTTGTTCCTCCCCACTCCCAACCACCATCTTTTTTTGGCATGAGAAGAAAGTTTCAAAAGGTCATTAGGTTCTTTTTTTTTTGGTATCTGGGATTGAATTTAGGACCTTGCACTTGCAAGGAAGGTGCACAGCACCACTGAGTTAAATCCCTATCCCTAAGTTCTAAAATTTTAAGGCATATACAATGTACAAAGCCATTACATCTCTTTTTTCTTTCTTTTTTTTTTTCCTTTTTTTTGGGGGGTGGGTAGAAAGCACAATGTGGCAAGTTAGATAGTCCGTGATTCCCATTACTGCACAGATACTAAATAACGGTATTATATTGGTCAGTTCTTGGGTCCTGAATTTTATTAAACTAAAGGGGTTTTAGGGTTATCTTTTTCTAATTGCTTGATAGTAAATAATTAGCTTTCCTCTTTTTGTGAGATACATATGAAAATTCATTATCACTGTTGACAACTTGTGTATTCTGTTCGAGCCCTACAGAATGTGTAGACATTGAGAATAAATTAAATCAAAATACATCTTTAAAAATTGGAGGACTTTGAAAACTAAATTCACTCTGAAACTCTTTTTTTTTTTTTTGGTTTTTGAGACAGGGTCTCACTTTGTAGTTGAGACTGATCTGGAAATCACTATGTAGCCCAGGCTGGTCTTGGATTCATAGTGATCCTCCTGCCTCAGCCTCCCGAGTGCTGGGATTACAGGCATGTGCCACCATGCCCGGCTACTCTGAAACTCTAAATTGTATATGTCAGAATAAGTCTATTTTGGTTCAAAATAGATAAATTATATAAACTAAATATACTTGTATTGAATTTTAAAAATGCTAACAAACATGGAATAAAAGCCCAGAGATTTTGGTTATTTCGCAAATATTCAACTCTTCACAAACTTTATTTGGAATTTTGGAAAATGTTCAATTTTAGGAACATTATTTGAAAAAACATCATGGGTATTTGTGGTCTGAAAAAGAAAGTGTATTTTGTTCTTGTGTGTTTTATTTCTTTATTTGGCTTTTGGGTGTGGGCCTTTCTGGTACAGTCGTTTTTCTCCAAGTGTGAAATGTGTTGCCTTATAGGAATCTTTAGTTCTTAAGTGAAAGATTTCTTTGTGTATCAGATTTGTGTGTAAAAATAACTTCTGTTTTTTAAAAAAAAATTGTACCAGCGAAGTGAATATTTAAGAGAAAGATGGGGATAATGCTCTTTATAATTGATATCTTTCTAAATTTAAATATTGATGAATTAGATAATAAAATAAAATATCTTGACCATTAAAATTAAATTTAACGTAATAGTTATATAATATTCACAGACTTTTAAACAAATGTATAACATATTTATTGCATATTAATATATACTTGCAGATAAATCATTGCTTTTGTAATTAATATTCATAAGGAGTCATGATTTGTTGTTTTGACTGGAGTAAGGTTCTTACCTATTATTATAATTTGAGATAAGATTTCAGCTACTGTTACAAAATAGCTTTAAAGTATGGTCTAAATCACCTTTACTGATGCTACCGTGTTCTAGGAAGTTTAGTTTTAGTTTGAGTGGCTACAATCTTTTTGTCATCTAATTCACTATAAAGTAAATTCTAATAGTAGATCTTTCTGCATTTATGTCTCTCCTGTTCTTTTTAAGTACTTAATACTTTAGAACTTTTTGTCACGTAAAACTTGTCTCAGACATCATTAAATGTGTTTTTGTTCACCTCATAATTGTTTGCTTTTCAAAGGTCGAATTTTAATCCTGAAATAGGCATGGTGTGTCACACAGGTCAGGCAGACAGAGGCCTAGGACCCTGAGCACAGCTCTCTTGCCTTTGCAGACATGCTCTGTCCCAGAGCGATAGATGAGATGTCTTACCACACGACAAAGAATTTAGGTTATGAAACGCCTCCATTTTATACTTAGATGGTAGCATCACTTATCATTTTCCAAGGAGCCATGGCTCAGAAATTCATAGATTTTTATCTGTCTGTTTGCCATGTGAAATCCTTAGCCATGTCCTGTTAAAAAGGATTTCCTAAACAAGGATTCCCTCTCTCCCTGTGACAGCTGCATCGCTCTGGGTGAGTTGCTTAACTCTTATTCCCCAGTGTCACAGTTGTCTTCAGAATTCAAGGCGCTCCTGGGTGTGGTGGTGCACGTCTGTCATCCCAGAATTCAGGAAGCTGAGGCAGGATCGCTGCGAGTTCGAGGCCAACCTGGGCTACATAGTGAGCTCGAGGACAGCCTGAACCACAGAGCGAGACCTGTCTTTAAACATAAATAAATAATAATGGGACAATCAGCAACATGAAATAGGAAGAAAAGGACCGAGGGTGTAGGGACAGTGAGAAGGATGGGAAAAGGAAAGGAAAACATATGAGAAAATGTAAAAATGGAATTAAAGTGTTCGAAGGTGGGGAGGAGAGGAGGAGGTGAAGGGAGGGTGGGGACAAGGGGAAAAATGAGAACCAAGACCTGTCATGTAGAGGTACAAGATCCCGGTAATGAATGTAACTGAACTGTCTACCTAGAATGTACCAATAAATTCAATTTAAATTATAAATAAATAAACATCAACAACAAAACCCCAGAATTCAAGGTGCTAGTAATGCTGAAGATGGATGAAATTTGTCCTTGTAATTTTCAAGGTAGATAGCAACAAAAAGGATATAGATTGCAGTTTGCAGATAAAAAGCCTTTCTGAGAAGTATTCACATGTGACAGGTACTGCAGGATGAAAAATTATCCTCTCTTGTTACATATGTGCTCCCAGATGGGTGCACTAAACAGTTTCTGCTTTTCATTCGGGTTGGACTTGGTGGCCGTTCACTTTTCTTCTAACCATGAAGGGTTTTTGTCTGTACTAGAGTGGTAATAGTATTTATTGTTAGATGTTCTTAGAAGTCTGTGGGTTAACAGTGAAGGGAAAATGTTATTTTTCTAAATTAATCTTCTACTTGTTATTTTATTTGCAGTCTGTTTTTTCATTCTCTTGGCTTTCTAAGGCTATTTTTTATTTCTTTGTTACTTTTTCCCCTCAGTTTAAGATCCTCAATGTGCCCATGTCGTCCCAACTTGCTGCGAATCATTGGAACCAGCAACAGGCAGAACAAGAAGAGAGGATGAGAATGAAAAAGCTCACACTAGATATTAATGAACGGCAAGAACAAGAAGATTATCAAGGTATAAAGTCATTTGTAAAAGAGGTGGAAAATTTTGATGCTTTTAAAGTTTTTAAATATAAATCAAATTTATTCTCTTTTCATATTGTAATTATATATACTGTTATATTGTATATGTATATACTGTTAATTTTTATCTCCATTTTTTTCTCATTTGTAGAATAACATTTTCATCATATTTTGGTAACTATAATTCATTTAGATTTTATGTTATAAGCTACATTTGCAAATGAGGTGATTTTTTAATTGTCTCACATTGCTAGCCAATTGTGAGCAAATTAGTTCCGTAAATATTTCTCTCATTTTATCTGTTTGGAATCCTAGTCTTGAGGATGCAGTGTTTTTTCGGATTTGAGGGTCTATTCAAATTAGGATTCTAACTTTATGCATATATAACTCTGCTTTTTTGGCAGTCCTGTACTTTTTTGGTATCCAGATTTTAGAGCCATAAGATAGCTGATTATATAGCACTGTTTGAACAAACTGCTATATTTTAAGGAGAGTATTATGTACATAGATTCTTTATGGCTTTTTTAATCTCTTAAGTTCTCCTCTACAGTCTTCCCTCCTAATTGTTGCCCAGCATTTTTTGTTGTTGTTGTTTTGTTTTTTGTTTTTTGAGACAGAGTCTCACCATGTAGTTGAGACTGACCTGGAACTCACTATGTAGCCCAGGCTGGTCTCGAACTCACATCGATCCTCCTGCCTCAGCCTCCCGAGTGCTGGGATTACAGGTGTGCATCACCACGCCCAGCTTGCCCAACACTTTAAAATAATAGCTAACCTTTAAGTGGCCACTAATAGTATTACCAGATACTATTTTATGTACTTCTTTCAAAACAGGTAATCCTCACACTGATTCTGTAAGTGCTGTTTTTATTTGCCTGTTATATTTATGGAGTTTGAATCTAAAGTTTCATTGCCAGTAATTGGCAGAGGTGGGTTGTTAACCAGTAGAAATTCTATAAACTGTCTTATTAGCTAGTACCTGTACTGCTTCTTAGGCTGCTTTACCGCCTCCTCGGACACTTAGGTAGTGGCCAAATTCACAGTAGAGGGAGGAACGGTGGGTATTAATCATGTCATGATGTGCTCTTCTAGTACTTCTGTGTCACTTTAATTCATGTAATTGTCATTTTTTTACTGAAAGGACTAGAACTTAATCTCCCTTACATTTAATTTGGTTCATAGAAGGCATATAATTACAAGATTTACAATATTTTCTTTTTTGGTCTTTGTCACAGAAATGCTACAGTCTCTTGCCCAGCGCCCAGCTCCGGCAAATACCAATCGTGAGCGGCGGCCTCGTTACCAACATCCAAAGGGAGCACCTAATGCAGATCTAATCTTTAAGACTGGTGGGAGGTAAAACAATCTTTACCTTCTTGGCTTTTTTTTTTTTGTGTGTGATATCCGTATGAATAAACTAGGGAATTCTGGGTTAAATTTAACTGCTAAAGTCCTCTAATTATCAGCAAAATACAGAAGCCCTTTATTGAAACCAGCCTTAACCACTGCTAAACGTACAAACTGGCTGACTTAATAGGCGAGAAGTAGTAGTTGTTAGTTTCCTGCTTCTGCCTTTTCTTAAAAGTAGCTTCAGGGGATAATATTTCAGCTCAACAGTAGAGCATTTGCCTAGTATGTGATGAGGCCCTGAATTCAATTCTCAGCACCATTACCATTAAAAAAAGAAGAAGAAGAAAAAGGTAGTTTTAAAAATACACTGTAAGTCGGGCATGGTGGTACACACCTGTAATCCCAGCACTCCGGAGGCTGAGGCAGGAGGATCGCTGTGAGTTCGAGACCAGCCTCTGCTACATAGTGACTTCCAGATCAGTTTCAACTACATAGTGAGACCTGTCTCAAAAAACCAAAAAAGAAAGAAAGGAAGGAAGGACGGACAGACGGACGGACTAGTATTCTTGAAAATATCTCTTTCCTCTTGTAACAGACCAAAACTATTAAAATCTTTTTATCTTGATACTTCCCATCATCTGTGTTACAGTCTAACATCTCTGAATAACATGTTATTTTTAATAAAACCTCATCCCGTCTCAGTTCAGTATAGTGTCTTTTCCTAATGTTCAAATGTGAGAATGTCAAAACCTTACAGAATCTGTATGTGAACACAGAGTTACGCCTTTCTTAGTTTGCCACCAGAATATTCAAAACTTTGTTAATTTCCTGTTTTCCCTTTTTCTCTCCAACTTCCCTTAGAAGAAAGGGCCACATTTGCTCCTTCCTTCCCTGTCTCCCATTCCTTGTGTGACTTACATCTGCATTTCTGAAAGCTGCTTCTCTGGGGTCCCTAACTGCCTCGCATGTTATCTTCAGAGCACTTAATATTATAGGCCCTCCTCATTTTCTTAACGTGCTCTTCCCTTGGCTTCCGTGACCTTTGAGCTTTTGGTTTTTCCTTTATCTTTGGCCCCTCCAGCTCCTATATGACTCCCAGCTCCTTTATGCATTTGTCCTGCCTAGAGATATCCGCATTTCTTGGGCCAGGCTTCAGCTCTCTTCTTACCCTTTTGCTCTCTGCAGGAGGTAACAGCCCTCTCATGGCTCAGTTACCATTATAGCTCCAGCCTAGACCTCACCCTTGAGTTTCTGATTGACCATCTGTGTGTCTCTCAGACATAAACTTCAGTGTGTGCCCTTCCCCAAGCCCCTTTCTCCCACTGCTCACCCGAGAGTCCACATTGGAAAAAGGTTTTAGTTTGAACTCCTCCCTTTTTCTTAATTCCCCAATCTAAGTAATAAATTTCTACATTCTGTTACTAAATCCTCTGTGTTCTACTGCTAAACAGCTTTTTTCCCACCCTACGACCAAGACCCTGGATCACACTACCATCACCTCTTATGTGCATTACTGCTGCAATCCCTCCCAGCCTTTTGGCCAAGATCAAGTGTGCTTTACTGCTACAGCTGCCTCGTGGACTTCTCAGTCTCTTTCAACTCCTTCCAGTTCATTCTCTCTGCTGTACCCAGTGTTCTTTCTAACATGAAAATCCGCCATCTGTCTATGTGACTCCTCCTGCTTAAAACCACTCCATTGCTTCTCATGGCCAGTAGGATGAAATCCAAACACTTCAGCTTGGTTAGCAAGCACCTGCATGATACACATATACTTAGCTCTCTTGGCTTCATCTCTTGCTGCTCTTTCCCCTACTCCCAACCAAGCTGGCCTTTTTATTTGTTGTTGTTTTTGTGGTTTTTTTTGGTTTTTGGGTTTTGGGTTTTTTTTGGCACCAGGGATCGAACTCAGGACTTTGTGCTTGCAAGGCAGGCGGCAACACCACTGAGCTAAATCCCCAGCCCAGCCTTTTTAATTAACTGTATTATTCTGGCCATTCTTCCCCCCACTCCACCCCAATGCCAGGGATTGAATTTAGGACCTTGCGCTTTCCAGGCAGGTGAGTGCCACTGAGCTAAATCCCTGGCCCTGGCCATTCTTTTTGTACTCTCTGAAGCAGTCTTCCTTAGATGATTCATTTCTCCTCTTCCTTTAGGCTCACCTTGGTGTTCTCAAGACTGATGTAGGTCATTGAGAATATGCTGTCACGGCTCACTGCAGACCACACCCTATTACCCGTTAGCTTGTCTCCATCCCCCATGAGATTAAAGACTGTGAGGACAGTGACTTCATCTTCCCTGGCTGTTCCTTTCCTTTTTAATTCACATTTTTCTTACTTTTAAAACTTTTATTAGTGCATATTTGCAGTACATAATAAATACATTCATCGTGGGTATTGGTACGTATATCATCACACGTCTTGATTCTTTGTACTTCTCCTCCCTTCCCTCCCATCTCTCCCCATCCCAGTTCTCTTTCCCATCTCATTATATCTCCTCAGTAGCTCAGTGCCTGACACCAACTAGATGCTCAGTAAATATTTGTTGAGTACACAAAAGACTGTTTTGTTTTATTTTTTGAGGCAAGGGCTTTGGTATGTATTATAGGCTGGCCTTAAACTTGCAGCAGTGCTCAGCCTTGTCCTGTCATCCTTGAGAATGGTACTTTGTAGCCAGGCCTGGTGGCACGTACCTTAATTCCACATACTCAGAAAGCTGTGGCGGGAGGATCACAAGTTCTAGGCCAGCCTGGGCAATTCAGCAAGTCCTTATCTCACAATTTTCAGTAGTTTTAAAAGGTGTAAACATGAGTTGTCTCTCTTGGGGTAACATGTTTGTCATTCTTAAATGTTAAGAGAATTGTAGCCATAGGAAAGGACGAACTGGTGAGATAGAGCTTCCTGGTGGTTTGGCTCCTCTTTATTTCTTCTGCTTTTCACCATGGGCCAGATAAACCATGAATAGATATGTGAGTGTGGAGCAGTGGCACCATTAGGAGTCAGAAGAATGAGCTGGAGTGGGGATTTCCACGTGAAGGAGCAAGACTTCAGTCTGCGGATACAGTCCTGAGAAGCTGCTTTCGAGCTGATTCTTAACTTGGCGTTTTTCTTTTTAAAAATCACTTATTAATGGTGGTAATATGTGCTGGGTAAAAGGAAATTTGAGGGGGCAATCTTGTTAGTAAACTCAAATTGCTTTCCAATGAGGATGTGTTAATTGATTCTTGTCTGGTGCTTTTTTAATCAGTTAATAATATTGATATTGTCAGTTAAAGAAATTTATTTGCTAACTGGTTATTGAAGTTGACTGTTTTTCTAACCTGTGGATTTTTATAGGCCCCTATACATTAATTATGATTTTATAATATTTTCTAAACAGGGGATCCTTGAAATAGAAAGTAAACTTAAGCCCTTTAACAAATTATAAGCACTTACCCTCAGTGAGGTAAGATGGAAATCATTCTATAAGTAAAACTCTTTTCTCAGTTTTCTGTAATGCAAAACAAGGTTGTTTTCCACTTTGTTAGTATTGAAAAAAACTGAAACAATATCTTTGGCAAATATTAGTACTAATATGATTTAGATGAAATACATTCATTTAAATTACTCTGGGGCTTCTCAGACTTTTAAAATACATACTAGTCATCTGGACTTATTAAAATGCAGGCTCTGATCATTTCTGACAGTTCCTAGGTAACATCAAAGCTGCTGGTATGGAGGTTACACTTAGAGGAGCTAAGGTTTATACTATCAGACTTAGAGTGTGTGTGGGTGCGCGTGTGTGTGTTTGTGTTTGCAATACTGGGGATTGAATCTAGGGCCTTCGCACTGAACTACATCCCCAGCCACTCTTCCCCTTTTTGAGACAGGAACTCACTAAATTGCCAGGTCTAGGCTTAAATTCATAATCCACCTTGCTTCAGCCTCACAGAGTGCCGGCATTACAGGTGTGCACCTCCATGCCCTGCCAGACTGTTTCGTTTTTCTTTTTTTTAAACATATGTTAAGGTGGACTTCATTTTGTTATTTGTTTTGAGATGGGGTTTCATTATGATGCTCATCCTGGGCCCAAGTAGTCCTCCTGTCTCACTCAGCCTCCTGAGTAGCTAGGAGTACAGGTGTATGGCACCAGGTCCAACTTTTTTTTTTTTTTTTGTTACTGAGGATCGAACTTGGTACCTTGTGCTTGCAAGGCAGGTGGTGGCACCACTGAGTTAAATCCCCAACCTCCTGAGTCTAGGAGTACAGGTGTATGGCCCCAGGTCCAACTTTTTTTTTTTTTTTTGGTACTGAGGATCGAACTTGGTACCTTGTGCTTGCAAGGCAGGTGGTGGCACCACTGAGTTAAATCCCCAGCCCTCCAACTTTTTTTATTAGATAATTTCTTAATGTACTTATTATAAGGTTAAGTGAGTTTTATTGTAAAATGGTACCTCCAAGAATAACATTTAATCTAAAGTATATATAGTAAATAGTTTTTGAACTCTTAATTTTTAAATCACTCAGAATTATTGTTTGACCTATGAACTAGTCACATAATACTCTACAGTATAACTAGAGGTAGGTAAGATTTTGAACATGATTTCCTACCATTTCTTGGATTTAAAGTATTAGGTTTTAGACAGCTGCTCTGTCTTGATTTCAGGAGAAAGACTTCTATCTTCTCATTAGGGAATGATTATATCTGATCTGCTTTTCATTCATTGCAGTTCTGGAAGCATTGTGGATATATGCAGCTGAGGATATACTTTTCCATATTCACATTTTATTCCTTAAAATCTCTTTCTAAAAGCCGGGCATGGTGGCGCACGCCTGTAATCCCAGCACTCGGGAGGCTGAGGCAGGAGGATCACTGTGAGTTTGAGACCAGCCTGGGCTACATGGTGAGTTCCAGGCCAGTCTCCACTACATAGTGAAACCCTGTCTCCAAAAAAAGAAAAAAAAAAAATCTCTTGCTAATGTAACTTGCTCTGTGAAAAGCAAACTGTATGAGTCCCCTCAAACTCTTGTAACAAAGTGACACAGGCTATCTTAAACAACTGAGGTTTGTTGTCTCACAGTTCTGGAAGCAGGAAATCTGAGATCAAGGAGTCCCCCAGGGTTGCTTCTTTCTGAGGCTGTGAGGAAGAATCTGTTCCAGACCCTCCCTTCCAGCTCCTGGGGGTTAGCTGGCAATATTTGTGTTCCTTGGTGTGTCATCTCTACCTTCATCTTCACACACTGTTCTTCTGTGTGCGCATCTGTGTCCAGCATTATTGTTTTGGATCAGAGGCCCACCCAACACCATATGGCCTCATCTTAACTTATTACCTCTGCACCAACCCTTTTCCAAATACCGTCAACATTTTGAGGTGCTGGGGGTTAGACTTCAGCATACACATTTTGGGAATACACAGTTCAACCATGTCACAATCATGAATTCTTGGCACCTTTGAAATCAGTCACAGAAAAGATCCAGGAGTCACTTCTTTACATTACTGTCAGAATTGCTCCTGTTTTGTCTTAGTCAGGTGATAGCGCTTTTGCTCTTTAAAATCATTAGCTTGGAGAAGCTACTAGATGATACTTGACAGTGTTCGAGGGATTTTCTTGCCCCAGCTTTGCCCTACAGCAGTAAGGTCTCTAATGTCACCCTGTTTGTCTTTAGGAGACGTTGATCCAGCAGCACGTGTCATTTCATTAGGTCCTGTATCTGATGTTGTGGATAGTGGAGTCCTCCAGCAATTGAACGAGAGCAGTGGACACATCTCAGCATGTCGGTCTAGAGAGTTGCGAATCTAAACCTGGGACAGGCTGGGGCCATGGGGCAGAAACACCAGCCTCTGCCAACACCGGAACAAGCCGACGCTTCCAGACAAGGCAGAAAAGGCCTTTTGTAATGGAAATCACGTGAGGGTTAATCTTCTCTTGAGAATGGCAGTCAAGAAATGAGATGGTTCACTTGACTACAGAGCAGCTACACCAAGAACGCCAATGAGATGACTGAGCCAGAGAAGAAATAGATATGATGGTAATGGTATGGGGAAAATGAACTTGAGTTTTAAACTTAATTGAGTTACAGTGTCTCTGAATTGAACATCCCATGTTGGAAGAAGATATATTTGGGGGCTCCAGGACTACAGTAGAAAAGTATAGAGCAAGCAGTAAAAAAATCTTCTAGGAAAAACTTACATGCAGGACAACAAAATGATGAAAGATACCCAAATAGCAGATAATCCACCAGGAAGGCTTTTGTTTAGGAATTTGTTTAAAGAGGAACAAAGGATGAGGGAGGAAAATCTGTTTTATCCATCAGTCAGTGATAAAAAATTGCCTATCTGAGTGAAAGAAAAATGTGAAGATTGTTAGTATGCAGAGAGCTTTAAGTCAGATGGCTTAAAAGTCAGATACCAGCCTAAGAACAGGGATATAGTTGAGCCCATTGTAAGTATCATTGAAAACAAAATGTGCCAGTCAGCATGTCACAAAAGAAACGAAGGACAACAAGAAGTAGATGAGAATATTTTGTTGACCTTCATGGGTTACAGCCTGTGTCTCTAAACAAAATACAGAAACAAGTAGAGCTTTTTTTTTGCTTTTGTTTTTGTTTAGTTTTGTTCCCCACACACACACCCCACTGAATAGAAATGAGGGTTCTTAGTCTGTTTCTGACAATCTGTTAATTTATTAGTATAGTTGTCTTTCGTTTGCTTTCCAGTAGGCATAGTGAATTTAGTTAAAGAGCACTTCTGTATGCTACAACTTGATTACATCTTTTTTTCTATTTTACATTTTTCTTTTACCATGTTTCAGTTTCTGCATGTAGAGTTAAATAAAAAACAAAAGTTGTAACATTTCACATGGAAATGCTGCCCAATCTTCACCAGCTTCAGAAATTTGACCTTTGCCAATGCTGCAATAAAGTGTTGTAATTTGGGTTTGGTGTGATTTCATTTTTGCTTGGGACTTCGGAAAACTATTGAATAGGTTAATCAGCGTCTTTCAGGGTGATCTTTGTACATAATAAAATATTCTCAGTGATCATTTCTTTAGCATTTTACTGTTAGTGTTTTCACTTTCAGGATTCTATATTGTCTTAATCTTATTTGAGTTAGAATAAAATTTGTTCTTAGAATTAACACCAATTAGAATGGAAAATGTTGGCGCAGCATAGTTTAGCCTGAGGCAACATGTAATATTTTACTGAAGCATATTCAAGCAAAGTTAGTAAAAGCTCCCTAAATTAGGCAAGTCAAAAAAGAGACACAGAGGGCCTGGGATTTAGCTCTGGCTTTGCCATCTGCCTCACAAGTGTAAGGTCTGAGTTTGATCCCCAGTACCAAAAAAGAAAAAGCCACAGAATCGCTGCTTTATTTTTCTTTCCCAATGTTAATCCTAAAGCTGATTTACACAATCCATATCCAGTAACAGTAATCATTATGGCTAAAATTCAGCTTTACAGTCACTATAATTTGAAAAGATTTAAAATATTCTTTTAATTTTAAAAAAAGTTTCAAAACTTCCTTTCCTGATGGAAGCCTATTACCCACCCTTTGTCTCTATATTCATCACTAACCTATATACTGTTACTTAACTATTCTCTTGTTAACTTTCTCTTGGAAAATGTTTTACAAGTTTTTAGCATTTTTATATTTTTCTAGATTTAAAATTATTGCAAAGAGCTGGAGATAATTTTAAATTTACCCCTTTTAATATATACAATGAGCAAGGCAGAAGATGTGTAAAAGTCAGGTATGTGGTGGTCTTGATATAAGATCATGAGCAGATGTGACTCGTTTTGGGAACAACAAAGTACCTCAAGTGTAGGATTCTTTGCAGCATTGTAGCTTCATTTTGCTCTTTTACAGGAACAAAGATAGGTTACGAATGACAACAAATTACTCATATGCAAGATAAAATTTATGCCACCCCCAGAATGTTTGCTTACGCTTTTAAAAAAAGGTCTAGGTTAGCCTCCTGAAGTGATTCCCATAACTTTGTCAGTCTTGTAGGTACGTTTTCTCTCTGTTATCTGCCAAAGATAAGTAAATACTCACAGATCTCACTGTCAGACTTACTCCTTGCATCTTGTGATCCCTCTTTAATGTCTGATGAGCTGAGAAGGCCTGTGGGAAGCCTGCGGATCTGTCTCAAGGTAAGTCCTTGCCCCTTTCTAAGTTGTGCAGGCCTTACGTAAGGCCTGACCTCACAGCTAGCCATTACAAACATGACCAATTTAAAACCAGACGGAGGAGAAGCTGTAGGTAGTACTCAGTGACAAGTTATGAAAACTTGGTGGAGAGCAGGCTGAGGGGTTTGGGGGTGGGTGGAGGATGATAAGCAAGATACAAAAACAGAAGAAATACCTCTTAGAGCCAAAATCCAAAAAATCCAGTATATACAATGAAACATAATCCTAGCATATATAGGTAGGTATTGGAAGAAACACTCATTTTGCAGATGAAGAGTCATACTCTTGAGAGGTGCACCTTTCATGACAATAGGATCAGTAATTGAAGTTTTAGCATTTTTTATGTATAGCAGAGATAACTTCACCGTGGGAAGGAAGTAGTCCCAGAGTGGTGAATCCAACAGTACATAAAGGTAGACTGTATTTCCTAACGACTCCAACTACATATGAAATGTTTATAAGGTTTGTCAGGAAAAGCCTAGGATACTGTAAAGGCTGAGATGAAACACATCTGGAGTCCCCCATAATGGTTTAATTTTTATATATTCAAGAGTTAATTTTCAGCCATAGATATCCCAATGTATTATGTACTTGCAAATGAGAGACCCAGCTTAAATGCAAAGGAAATTATAAGGATCCTAAAGTATGAAACCAAGCATAGTAATTATTGTTGGGCTTTAGGCAGAACTAAGTTCTGTTCCTTAGCTTTATTTTCCCTGTAGTAGTCATTTCCACTCACTATAACAGGTATACGGACTGGGTGGCTTAACTTCTGGAAATAGAATGTCCAAGATCAAAGAACCAGTGAGGTCGGTTCCTCCTGAGGCCAGTCCCTATGACTTACAGAGAGAGGCCCTTTTCAGTGAAGCTGCAGAGCCTCATGGCCCCTGGGCAGTGTGCAGCCTGGATCTTCTTTGGCAGTCCAGACCAGCACAACCTTGGGATGCCTCCTGCTGGGTGAGCTCCGAGAGGCCTTGCTGGTTTTCTCAGTGCAAGGGCTGCTGATGGCGGTGGTCAAGGAAGGAGACTCATGGGTAGAGGACACTACCCTGGCCTCAAGCTTCCTGTTGGACGGCACCGAGTCTGCCCAAGCCCTGAGCAGGCAGCATGTGCAGAGATGCAGTTGCTTGTCACTTCTCCGGGGAGAACTTTGTGGGGGCCTCCTGGATGGCCAGCATGGCATCTTCCCTCAGACTCTGGATGTGCTGCGCTCAGATCTGGCTCCTCACACCTCACTCTACCAAATACTGCTTTGGCTTTGCCTGCTCTCTGCTTATCACCTAAGGTAAAAATGTTCAGAGTGACCTTTACACAAAGTAGCCTTCAACTTGCTTTTGTTCTTTATCTGGGATGTCAAACTTTCTATAGTTGGATGATTAAATAGGAAAACCTTATTCTTTTGCTCCCACAAAACTCTAACCATGGAGAGCAGTTCAGTTCTTTTCCACTTGTAGAAAGTAGCATCTGCCCAAATGTCAGCACACACCTGTCTTTTCAGCTGCCCTTTAAGTGCATGATGCATCCTCTGCCTCCAGAGAACAATGCTGTCCCAGAGCCCAGTCCCATTCCCCAAAGGAGGATTGACCTCAAAAACTTGTGCTGAAAAGTTTTAGACCCTTTGTTTTAAAGATTTCTAGCCAAGGGTGATTTGGGCTTTGTTTTGTTTCCTATCACATCCCACAGTCCTGTTTTGTGAACCTTGGTTTTTCTTACTTTGATGACAGCAGCGGGCAGCACACACCATCCTGTTCCCTTCTATCTCCATCTGTTTCTGGACATTTTCCTAAGGTGGGGTTTTCTTTGTGCACAGTATCCTGTCCCCTTAAAAGGAGACTTGTCGTAGCTGAGTTATTTGGCACGAGGATATTAGCATATAAACTTTGTGGGCAGGAATGTAGGAGTCACTGTTTGGCCTATCTGTGACATACCCTGTAAACTTGGTGCCAATGTCTAAGTTTTTGTTTTGTTTTTCTTGCACAGGTGTGGAGGCTGACTTAATGGGCTGTACAACCAAGTCAAGTATTCTGGGAATTGCTGGCCCTGCTTGCCTCAAGTGTCTGTCTTTGGACCAGTGGTCTGATCCAGGAACTATGTGAACTGTTTGAGGGAGGGGCACTTCCTACATTAATTCAGAAATTTCAATGGGAAGTTTCCACATAGCTGTAAGTTTAATTCATTCTAATTAATTTGTTTTTTTTCTTCTCTCATTGAGTTTATTGGTACATTTTAGGTATACAGTACAGTTATTTTTTTTTTTTAACTCCCAACTGTTTTACATCTATGGCTTCCAAACATCCTTCTACTATTTATGACTGGCTCCAGCATTTTATTTATTTATTTTTATATTTTTATTTATTTTTTTGGTACCAGGGATTGAACTCGGTGGCCCCAGCATTTTTGGTGGGGGGGTTGAGACAGAGTCTCACTGTATAGTTGAGACTGACCTGGAACTCACTATGTAGCCCAGGCTGGTCTCAAACTTACAGCGATCCTCCTGCCTCAGCCTCCTGAGTGCTGGGATTACAGGTGTGTGCCACCATGCCCGGCACCCCAGCATTTTACATTAACAGACCAGCACTTTTCTCCAGACTTGTTTTGAACAAAGGTAAAATCAATTTAAAATAAATTTCCTAAAGCACACTATAAATAAAATAACATTCCTGCCATTCTTAATTTAGATGAACTTTTCTTTTAATCATTGAAATTTGAAAGGATGCTCAGTCATTTGTTCATCACACGTTTCTTTCTGGAGAAGTAACTGAAAATTTTTGGGTAATTATGTATTTGTTGCCTTGGAAACAAATATTTGTCCTTATATAGTTTTTTTGGGGGGAACAAATTCTGGGTGTGCATATATATGTGCAAGTACTAAATGTTTTCACTTTCTTTGGTTTCTTTTTTGACCCTGGGAAACTTTGTTTTCAGATAGTGTGGTCCATTTAATGTTGGATGCATGGATTCTAACATTTATGTACTTGGAGACCAATGGGAAGACACAGTTTCATTTGATAACTGTTTATTGATCCCAGTCTATATTCCTGGCACTACTCTGAACCCTAGAGATACCGAAGTGGAGGGAAAGCTTTCTGTTACCAGGGAGCTAACATTCTAGCAGAGACACGGAAGAAGTCTGGACATTGCGATGAAATTAATTGATGTTATCCATAAAGTGCTTAGCACAACATTTGGCATGTAGGAAGGATTGGTTTAAGGGTTGCTACTACTATACCTTTGCATGTGGTGTTTTCTCAACCAGAAAGCCCTCCTTTCCTACCTGGCTCTTATAACTTGCCTTTCAACCATCACCTCCTCTAGGAAACCTGGCTGTCTTGTCCTTCTCCAAGTTTGATTTTGGGGCTCCTTGTATTGAACTTTGTTAAAGATGCCTCTCTGCTTGCGTGCCCATCCCATTGGTGGACACAGGAGCTTAAAAGAAGGCTGGTCATTTGGTTGCCTTTGTGCAAGTGAGATAAGCACAGCCCACATCCAGGAGTGGAAGATTAGGAATAGGGGCCTTCTGGTGAAATGTTGGCAGATACTTTTGTCTTCTGGAGTAAGTATTTTGAGAGAATCTGTTCATTTCCAAAGAGTGGGCACAGCCATGTTCCAAATCATGTACTCCTCCTTTGTTTGTCATAGGAGTTTATTTGACCTCAGGCTGGCCTCTCCCTCCTCTTGTCAAATTGGCCAGTTGAGCTCAGGAATTTGTAAGGTGGGAGCAGGTCCACTGGTATGTTTTCCCCGGTTTCCCGACTGGCTGGCAGCATGGCAACTTAGAGCCTACTAAGGTCAATACTGGCAAGAAATATCTTGTCTGGACCCAGGGACAGAACGGCATGCTAGTGCCATGAACTATTGACTTTATCTACAAGGTGAGCAGAAGGGTTTCATAGATAACTTGCCAAGAACCTATTCTCAGTAGAAGCCCGGAGGTAAGAAGCACCTGAAATTCTTTCTACATTCAAAGGATGGTAGAGGGTCCAGGCGGGCCACAGTTCACCCACTTGTTAGATGTGCACTGAGCCTAGCTGCGACACTATCTACCTTCATGACCTTGGGTGGTTTTTGACCTCTAACCCTCAGTTCTCTCATCTATACAGTAGGTGTAAATTAGGGTTGTATGAGGAATTAACTAGTGGGATAATGGACGTAAGAGTCTTAGCACAGTGGCTGGTAGAGGGTAAGTGCTCCAGCCAGCTTAATTGAGCTGTGCTATTACCACCTCCGTGTCTGTGCCTGTTGCATTGTCCCGTGCACAGTGAGCCATGCAGGCACTGTCCTTGATGATTGCACAAACTGCTCTTGCATGCAGGGCATCAGTATCAAGTTCAGACCTAGCCCCCCAAAATCACACTAATTCCAACAACTGTCTTGCCCATAGAAACGTGTGCCTGAACAGCCGTGGAAATGCCAGTCTTTGGGGGAAGCTGGGCTGAGCCAAGTTCTGGTTCTTGACAGGTAAGAATGACATCTTCCTATAGATAACTAGATGGTTAAATTCAGCATCAAATTTTCTCATTAATTTTTTTTTTAATTTTGTTTGGTTTCCTCTGTTCTTCCTCCCTCAAAATGCCCAGGTCAGAACAGGCTGTTGGGTCAGATCACCTCAGTGATTTTCTGAGAATATACCATTGTTAGGGGTTAGGATTCAGAAAGGAACCCTTTGGAAGAGGTGGGTGTCTGTGAAACCCCATGAGCTAGAGGTTTTTTCTTTCAGCAAACAGAGTAAGCAAGGGAAAGACTTCAGAGTTATCTTAGGACTGAATTCTGGTTTTTACCAGGATTCCTTGAGAAGGGATTTTTAAGAAGTAAAGAGCAAAACAGGAAGCAATTTTAAAATAAACAGAATTGTTTCTTAATTTAATGAGTTTGACCACCCATTTGTTAACCCATTACAAGAGGATGTGGAGGCTTCCAAATCAATGAGCCAGTGTTCACCATGTTATAGGGGGCATTTTATTAAAAACTGAAATTGTGAGGAATGGCTCTCCTCCTTAGTAATTTGTAACCTGATTGGAGCTACATCTGGAAACCAGATGTAGGTATAACTACCCCTTTCCGTCACTCCAGTGTAGTACAAGTGGTGCTGGCTCTGGAGTTCAGTGGCCCTGCCACTTCCTAGTTAAGGTTTTATTTTATTTTATATTTACCTAAGACTCCCCCCCTTCTCTTCTGATAATAAAATTCTGATTGTCCTATGGGATTGTGAAAATGGAATGCAAAGCATTCTTTCAATACTTAGTACATGTCATGTGGAAATTACAGTAAGATGCAAGGCTGAGAAAGACGTGCTTCTGGAAGCATTCTCAAGGGAGCAACACAGAAGCAATAGTGAAGACTATCAGTCAGTGGTAAGCTGTAACAGACACTGTCGCACTCTGCCCAGTCTGCCTTTGCTAAAGGACTTGTTTCGGGAGCTGTAGGGAGTGTGCTTGGCACCTAGCTTTGGCAGCCAGTCCTGGAACAGAGATGGCCTGGGGAGGTTCCATGCACACTGATCAAGGCAAGACAATAAGGTCCTGGCTATCTTTGGCCCAAGTCGGCAACTCTGAAGGGCTTTTTAACCACAGAGCTCCTGGAGTCTGTCATTGGGCCAATGATGACAGCTGAATGGTTGCCTGAGGTTGAGCCTGCATAGGAGGAGTCCTTCCTTTGAAGAAAGGGCTGAGCCAAGACCTTAACTACAGGAGTGCTCCCCTTGGATAGGAGTGCACATTCCAGGTGAAGTGGTCAGAATAGAATGAGCATGGCCCTCAGAGGAGCCTGGAGAAAGAAGTTGGAGAATGGGACAATAGGCAGGGCCCAGGTCAGAGAGGACCTTATGAGCCAGAATGAGAAATTTGGATTTTCTCTAAAATGTAGGATGGATTTGATCTGATTTTTTTAAACTGTAGCTCTTATGTCTTTACCACAAAAAGCAGCTACGTTAAATTAGCTTCCCCCCTTCTGTATTAGAACCTGTACAATATTATCTCAATTATTTATAAAATTTCACTAAATAACACTTAAATTCATCCACACAATGTGATCTGATTTTATTTTTTTTATTTATTGTTTGTTTGTTTGTTTTTTGGTACCCGGGATCGAACTCTGGTCCTTGTGCTTGTGAGGCTGGCACCAGAACCACTGAGCTAAATCCCCAGTCCTGTGATCTGATTTCAAAGGACTGCTCTGCTGGCTAGTGGAAAGCAAGCTGTAGGCTGAAAGTGGAATAAGAAAAACCAGTGAGGGGACGGATGGCAAGGGACTATGGGGCGTTGACAGTGGATAGGAGAGACAGATTCAAATATGTTCTCCAAGTAAGTTGTCGGGCCTTGATGGATGTATGAGGGTGGAGTGAAGGGCCTTGGGGTTCCTGGGTTGAGTGATAAGGGTGGAGGGTAGAGTGGAGTGGATGTGTGGAAAGTTCCCAATGGTGTGGTTGATTGAGAGGGATAGCTCATAGAAGCTTCCCACTTGCGTTTTTGTAGTTTCCATAACCTGGCACCTTGTCTGATGCTGCTATAGGCTGACAGTAAAAATGGCCATTGTGGGGCCAGGGAGGCAGCTCAGTGGTTCTGCTGCCTGCCTCGTAAGTACAAGGACCCGAGTTTGATCCCCGGTACAAAAAAAAAAAATGGCATTGTCAGATGAACCTGGTTTCTGGAGACCTCCCAGGTTTACAGGTGCGCAGGCAGAGTTCTTGCCAGAGAGCTGAGGAAATTGATTACATGTCCTGGAAAAGACAGAGGACACACTGTGGGGGGGTTCTTCTCTGAAACTACTGTTAAATCTGCCACTTTTAGAGCTGAGTCCCTGCCTATCCTCTTGAAACTCTTGAGCCTGGGCCTCAGGCTTGAGGAGCAAAGAGAATGCCCCCTGTAGGGACAGAAACTGCAAGAAAAGGGCTGACTGTAAGCTGATGCTTCTCTGTTCTGCCTGACCTGGATTTTCCTTTCCTTTTAATTTGACTTGTGCTTGTTTGCTGTATACGTGCTTTGCATTGTCCCTGAGAAGCTCAGAAGACCCAGGTGGCTTTTGCTGGCAGCATGTGTGCACCCCCATCTGTATCAGGCGGGACTCCCCTCCACAGCCCGCGCTTGTCCCTCCCACACCTCAACCTCACTCAGCAATCTCAGGCTGCCCAAAGCTCAGGGAGGCAACCTTTTCCATGGATTATGCTTATGGTACCAACAATAAGTCTACTGTTTGACTAACCCTACATCCAGAGATTTCCTGCTTTTTGTTCCCCCATAAAGTTTTATGTTGTACGTTAAGTCCAGGATCCTTTTGGGTTAATTTTTGTATTAAGTGTGAGGTTTAGATGTAGTATTTTGTGCCAGTGGATGTCCAGTTGCGCCAGCGCTATTTGTTAAAAAGCTGTTCTTCCCCCACTGACCTACTTTTTGCACCTCTGTCAAAAGTTGGTCGATCCTGGGCACATCCACCCAGCACTCAGGAGGCTGAGGCAGGAAGATAGTAAGTTTGAGGCCAGCTTGGGCTATATTGTGAGTTCAGGGCTAGCCTGGACTACTTGGAAAGAAGCTCCTGTCTCAAAAAAGAAACACAAAAAACCAAAGTCAATTTAACCATACTTGTGTGAAGCTGTGTCTGGATTCTTTATTCTGTTTCAATGATCCCTGTGTCTGTTCTCCATAAATACCACATTGTCTTGATTATTATCACTATACAGTAAGCCTTAATAATAGAGTGATTAAAAAAATAGAGTGATTGCTCCTGCTTTTTCTTCTTTGTCAAGATTATCTTAACTAATTTATTTCCTTTGTCTTTCCTTTTACATTTTAGAATAAGCTATTTATGTCTAAAATATCTTGCTGGGATTTTAATAGGTATTGCCTTAATGTAATTGTTATTATTTTTGCTGTGCCTAGGGACCAAACTCAGAATATACATGCTAATTAAATTCTCTAGCAATGAGCTGTACTCCTAGCTGTATTTTTTATTTTTTATTTTTTTTGGTACCACGGATCGAACTTGGGACCTTGAGCTTGTGAGGCAGGCAGTGGCACCACTGAGCTAAACCCCTAGTACTGCATTATTATTTTTGATACTATAATGAATGGAATTATTTTATTAATTTCATTTTCAGATAATTCATTGGTGATAGAAATGAAATTGATATTTTATATTGACATATCTTATAAATTTTCTGAGTTATTTAATTAGGCCAAGTATTTTTATAGGTTCCTGAGGATTTTCTTATCATATTGTATCATTTGTAATACAGATGGTTTCACTTGTTGCTTTCCCATCTGGATATCTTCTGTCTCTTTTTCTTACTTGATTGCAGTAGCTAGACTCTCTAGTACAATGAACAATAGATGTGGGAGTGTATATTCTTGCCTTGTTTCTGATCTGAGTAGAAAAACTTTCCCTTTTTTCCCTGCAGTATAAACAGAAAACCACATACCTACCAAGTGCCAGGATCCTGAGAAAGGGGATGTTGGATGAGGGAAATCTGGGAAGACTTTGCTGAGGAGAGTTGGGATGACAGGCCTTCTCAGGGCAGGAAGTTTATGAGTTTGTCACTACAGTACAGTACTGGAACTGGCCACTGAAGAGGGCAGATTCAGGGCTGCTGCCAGCAGAATGGCTTTGCTATGTGTCCTCTGATGGAGTCAGTCTAGTCTCTTTCCCCACTATATCTACAAGAAGGATGGCCACACACAGCCTCCAGGCTCCTGTGCCATCCCTAGGCTGCATCTCATTCCCCATCCCTTGGGCTGGCTCAGGACAGCCAAACTGAGATGCTCTCTATCATTTACAGGAAAAAAGCTGGGACCAAGCTCATGAAACTCTTTCCCCAGGGTGCCCGATGCAGCTGCTACCAGGAACCTGCAAACCTTTTCGTGTTAAAAACCTGACCTTCATTTGTTCCTTCCTCCATTTAACCCATTCACTTGTTTAATGCATCTGAACAGCACAGGTCCATGCAAACCATCTGGCAAGACATGGCATAGCATGAGGTCTATTAACAGGGTCTTTATTCACCAGACATTCACCCTTTATTGTAGAGGAATGAATTTAAAATACACTTCAGGGAACAGTGTGAGCTTTGGGACAAAAGAGATAGAAACCAGGATAAGGTGGGGTAGGGTTTGAGAATCTGCATTTCTGACATGCTCCTAGGTTGGAAGGTCACACTATAGCTAGGCCCTGGCTGGGGATGTAGCTCATCAGCCCAGTCAGTGCCTGCCTGGCAAATGTGAGGTCCTTAGTTCAACACTACCACCACCTCCGCTGCCAATAAAATAAATACATTTAAGTAGCTAGGCCCTAGAGAATATTTCATATGATTTAGCTGGAGAATAATGGTAGAGAAGAGCTGGAAAAGTAGGCAGAGGCCAGGTTCCAGGCTTAGGAGTTTGAACTGTATTTGGCAGGCAGAACACAACCTCTGAAGGTATTTGGGTCATGAAGTGAACCAAGCCTGACTTAGGAAGATTAGCCTGGAAATCACTCAAAGGAAAGACTGGAGCAAGAGCAACTAGAAACACAGTGATTTGTCATTCACCTACATACCTAACCCTCTACCCGTCTTCCAATTACATTTGTTGCATGCATAGTCCAGGGAAAGGATGAAGAAAAGCCAGTCTTCCCCCAGAGGGATCCCAAGCCTGAGCCCATACTATGTACAGGATTGCATAAGAGCATGGACACTTAGCACACCTGGAGAGGGCAAGAGGCTTCCTGTAGGAGGGGACCCTTGGGGAGCTTTGGAGGAAGAGAGTTGTTTGGGTGAGAAGGGCCCAGTTAGAGGGAGCCGCTTGAGCTAAGGGTGGAGGCAGAGAAGGCCAGATGTGGAGCCAAAGAGGTGAACTAGTCAGAGTGTCTGCTCACATACAACAGAACTGGTTCTAGTTACATCAGTGTATCGGTAGCTCATAGTATTGACTCAAAGAATGGAGAACCAGCTTAGGCAGGAGCCTAAGGTCCTGCCCTGTTCCTGTCTCTCTGAGGAATATCTCCAAGAGGGAAGGATATGGCCAGCCGAGATGACAGTGTCCACCATCAGCAGGCAATAATAATAACTAGAATCTGGTACACTGCACAAAGGCCCTGTGTGAGGTGTTTCACACAGATCATCACATGGGCTCCTCTGTATAATGCTAGAAGAGGGGTCTCCACGTTAAGGATGGGGAAACTAAGACTTAAGGAGGACCAGTAGTTTGCCCAAGGTCGCCCAGCTGCCAAGTGCTGGAGGCGCAATTGAAGCTGAGTCTGTTGAACTTGGAAACCCAGGGGAGTGAGGTGGAAGGGGACAGTGCCCAGGACTCCTTGAAGTGGGGGAGGGTCTGCAGCAGGGCCAGGCCTGCAGGAGTTAGAAGACTAGGGAAGATATAGTAGCAGTGTGTCTTCAGGGTTTCTGATAGAGATGTGGTGGCCACTGATTCCACCATAGAGGGAAAGACAAAGATGCTTGTGGGGGAGGGACTGTGAGCCTGAGGCTAATGGAAAAGCAGGGCTGCCAAGAGCAGAGGATTGTTCAGTGAACCCTGGAGACATCAGG